AAAAAAAGTACCAGCGTTACTGACTTATATTTGCAGTGTCACTGCTCCATGTCAACCACCAGAGTGCTGGGAAGCCCCCGACGACCCCCATAGATCACAGGGTTCTCTTGGCGTCTCTCAGGGTTATCTCGATTGGGGGAGAGTAGCCCTGTGCTTTGTTCCTTATACTCTACTGAGTGAGATCCTCTGGTGTTTATCTTTTTCTTTCTGACTCACTCACTTACCCTGATTCCTTCTATTTTAATGCCCCTTCTAACCTGGAGAAAAGGCTGGGTCCAGATCTGGTGGAATTGGATTCCTTGCCTGTCTTCAGCCTACCTATCTGGTGATTCAGAAGTGGGGGCACCACTGGCTGTCACCCCAGTGGTTCCCCAAACTTCGGGTGTCACCTGGTAGCCTGCCCTGAACCTTCAGACTTGTACAATCAGGTGGAATATCCCTTTGCCCCCTGCACTTCCTGGGAGGTTCCAAGTAAGAAAAAGTAGGCCAATTGGATAGGAACTGCCTGAGGTTCTGCAGCTCCAGCTTTCTCTGACATTGATGGGTAAAAACCAGGTTTGCCTGCTTGAGCAGGCCCTATACTATCTCCATCGTGAGACTTGTTGTTACTGTTTTTGGCATATCGAATACATCACGGGGAGCTTGCCAGGCTTTACCGTGCGGGTGGAATACTCTCGCCGGGTTCTCCAAGTGGGGCAGAAGAATCAAACCCAGGTTGGCCGGGCCGGCAGTGCGCAAGGCAAACGCCCTATCGCTCTGCTATCGCTTAAGCCCAGATAGGTAAAGAGGATTAAATTGTCAGGCAAAGCTGGAATAGACATCATGTAGGATAAACTGCCGAATCTCTAGCAAATCTATGGCACTGTAGCACTGTCCTCCCATTGTTCATCAGTTTGCTAGAGCGGGCCCAGTAAAGTCTCCATTGTGAGACTTGTTGTTACTGTGCTTGGCATATCGAATACATCACGGGGAGCTTGCCAGGCTTTGCCGTGCAGGTAAGATGCCCTTGGAAGCTTTCTGAACTCTCCTAGAGGGGCAAAGGAATTGAACCTGGGTTGGCTGGGCCAGTCGTGTGCAAGGCAAGGTGGAAAAAAAAGGTGGGTGGAGGGGAGGGAGAGGGAAATAAGAGTGTTAAACATATGAAGTCCTCCCTCATTTGAGACACTGTATTTTACAGTCATATAATGTCATATTTGGCATTTTCTTTATCTTTTAGGGGAAGGAAAGGAAAAAAACAGGTAGAGTAAAAAAAATTTAAGGTTGGCAAAATTACTTAGAATGATTGAAATGAGTGATTTTTGGACTCTATTGTATCTTTTTCTAGCCAGTGTTTCCTTTAGAGTGGATCTTCCACCGAGACCCACGGCAGGGGCTCACCTGACCCACACTGTGTCTTGCAGGTGCCCATCGTAATCCCCATCCTGGTGACGCTGGTGTCGGTGTTTCTGGTCTTGGCGCCAATCATCAGTGAGCCCGCGTGGGAATACCTGTACTGTGTGATCTTCATCCTGAGCGGCCTGATATTTTACTTCCTTTTCGTCTACTATAAGTTTGCATGGGCTCAGAAAATCTCAAGTGAGTATCACCAAAAGGACAGCCTGAAGGTTAGTGAGGAACAGAAGGGCAGAGGTCCCCGCAAGGGCAGAGGCAAGTGGCCGACCTTACCCCTGCCACCTCTGTCCTGGCTTCTCGAAAATCATTTCACTTCCCTAAATACACTAAGCTCATTCCTCTCTCTCCTATAACTTGGTGGCAGATGCCTCAGAGGGAGCACGCCCTCCCTGAGCACAGTGGCTCACAGGATGGTCTTGGATGGCCTCTGGCCACAGGTGCCCACTGGGACAGAGACACTACCCTCTGAAGGAATGCCCAGAGCAACCCCGTGGCACCAGTGGGGAAGTCTCTGTGTGGCCTCCTTCTGACTCCACTTCTGGTGCCTTTTGTTCCAGAGCCCCTCACCATGTACCTGCAGATGCTGATGGAAGTGGCACCTCCGGAGGAAGCCCCCGAGTGACAAGCTCGAGCTCCTGCGGCCACTGCCTGAGCTGTGATAACTTTATTTTTGTAAGCAGTATTTGTGGTTATTCCCAATGTTTTTGTGAAGAAAAAAAAATGGATCCAGACATTCATAACAGTTATTTTCAGACATTCTGGGTTCTCTGGGAGGGGATCCGGATTGGAAAGGTGACGGGGACAGCAGGTGACAAGGCCACCTTGCAGGAGAATGATGGACACTGGCCAGCGTGGTGTCTCCTTCCCCAGCTGCCTACTTACAGACAATTCCTTAAAGCTACTCTCCAGCAGGATGGACAGAATTTAGAACTGGTGAAACTTTTCTTTGAAATAGATTTTTAAGATACTCTAGTAGGAATGTCCTGCTTCTTACGTTCCCCCTCACCCCCACACACTGCCAGCCTGGGATTTCACCGGATGCAGATGGCAGACCTAGCCCAGGCTGCTGTGCTCACGGCCCAGCACAATCAGAGCCTCGCCACAGCCTGCCCTGGACACTCTGGTGGATAGACACTATTTTACATTTGGCCTTTAGGGAAAATTCAAAAGGTTTTCTAGTGTTTTGGTCACACCCAGCAATGCTCTGGGGTCACTTCTGGCTCTTCCCTCAGGAATTAGTCCTGGCGGTGCTCACAGGACATACAGGATGCCGGGGATCAACCCCTGGATAACCGGGGTCAGGCGCGTGCAGGGCAAGCACCTTACCCGCTGCTGTACTCTGGCTCCAGTTCTCAAAGGAACATTTCTGCGAAAACAGATTTTATTCATGCAGGAGACACTTGCACCACGGTTAACTATGTAAGTGATATTAGAAGCACAAAAGAGAAAATACACTCTTAGCTTATATTTCAGAAGTTTTCTCAAACCATGAAATCAGTACATATTAGCAGAAGAACAACAACAACAAAAAAAACAGCAACTGTTTACATTTCAACAGCCAGAGTCACTGAGGGCCTCCGATATGGGGTGGAAAAGCTGTTCTAGATTTCTCCATCTTTCCATCCGCCTCCCCTCACCGTGCTCCGTGGAGCGCTGGACTCGCCACCGGTCCACATGGGGAAGCGCGCCCATGCAGGTCCGTTGCTTGCTGTTTCTCTGCTGTGTCTTATGAAAGCCTGAACCCCGTGAGCACAAAGGGCAGGAGGCCAACAGTCCTGGGAGCCAGCACGGCAGGAAGCCTGACCTGCTCCTGGGAACAAGAGCTGCAGGGGTGGCCAGCAGAGACACCAGGGCTTCAACTTCCTCTCAGCCCGCCCAACTCCCCCCCCTTGTCCTGCCTGGGGGGGGGGGCACCGCTGCAGCCAAGACCTGGGGGCTCCCAGGAGTCTTCCAGGCCGGACCCTAGTTCGTGCCCACCAAGGCCAGAGGCAAAAGGGCCGGCCCAGCAGCACTCGGGGTGCTGTGGGGTGAGGTGAGGTGCGGCCTGGGTGCTCATGTGTTTATTTTACAGATGAGGAAACGGAGCGGCAGTGTGGTTCACATCTGCTCGCCAGAGAAGCTGGTGACAGGGATGGCCTCCCTGGGAGGGAGACAGGCGCAGGCAAGCACACGCGCACGCACGCACACGCATGCATGCCTCGGTGCTTTGTAGAGCATGGAGCCCTCGGCACATGAGCTGAGATCCAGGCTGAGGCAGACACATCTGTCTGGGGCTCCCACCTTCTACCTTCCCTCGCCCCCCGGTCTAAGCCCCAGTCAGTCAGGGAGCTGCAGATGCTAATAGAGTCCTCACCACTGCCTGCTGTTCGCAGGGCTACCTCCAGGCGCCCCACACTTCTTTTTTGGGTTCCATTCAAAAGAGCTCTCTCTAGCCCCTCCAGCCGCCTGAGCGTCTGCAGGCCTCGCAGTTCTGCAGAGGCTGTGGCCTTCCCGCTAGGGCTGTGGGTCTGACAGGTAGGGCTGAGACAGCCCAGTCTTGCCCACGCTCTTGCTCTTCACGAGGCATAAACTTAAGGGCCAGGGACATAGCGTGGTGGGAAAGCTCATGCCTGGCATGAATGAGGCTCCAGGCTCTACCCCTCAGAACCACACATGCCAAAAAAAGGTGGGGGGGGGGGCAAATAAAGTAATAAGCTTACTCTTAGTAGCTATGACTATCTTAAGAATCCTTAAATGTATTAATACACAAACGGCTACATTAATCTCAACTTGGGGACAGATAGTACAGTGGGTAAGGTGCTTGCCTTGCATGCAGCTGACCTGAGTTCGATCCCGGCACCCCATATAGTTCCCTGAGCCCTGCCATGTGTGATCCCTGAGCACAGAGCCAGGAGTAAGCCCTGAGCACTGCTGAGTGCGGCCTTCCCAACAACAAAAAAAAAGCCCAACAACAACAAAATCCCAACTAACTGATGGCTGGAAAGGTAAAAGGGCAATGCTGAGTGTCTAGAAGAGAGAGAGATCTCAACCCGTGGGCCTGCGCCAGGTCTCCAGGCATGCAGCCAGCCCAGGTCTACGTGGAACGAAGGCGCACCAGGACTCCAGCCAGTAGATGAACTGCCCAGAAGCCCAGTGCTGACGTGCTGAGAGGCCCAGAGCAGGCCGGGCCAGCGCTGTCTCCAGCACTTGTCTCTGTGCTCGGGGGCCTGCTGGCACCCTCCTTGGCCAGCTAAAGCCCCTTGGACAGTCAGTGAAGCATTTCTCACTGTTACCACGCCCAATGCCCCAGCATGACTCAGGCTGACTTTCTGCAGTAAAAACGTTGGCCCAGGGGCCGGAGCGATAGACGAGACAGCAGAGAGGGGATCTGCCTTGCATCCAGCTGACCCAGGTTCGTTTCCTGGCACCCCACATAGGGCTCCGAGCACCACTAGGAATGATTCCTGAGCACAGAGCCAGGAGTCATCTCTTGAGCACAGCTGGGTGTGTAGCCCCAAACAAAAACCAAAAGAACAAAGAGGGTCGGGCGTGTTTGGCTGGCCCCTAAGTGCGGCCCAGGGTAGCCTCGTTCCGTGCAGTCTCCGTCCTTCAGCACAGGGCTCCAGGTCTCAGTCACTCTCGCTGCCCTTCTCTTCTGACATTTTGTCACCATTCTCCATGACCTCAGCCACTTTGCAGGGCAGGGGTTTCGAGTGGACACCTATAAGATTCAGATATTATAAACAATGTGTTAACTACAGATTCCTGGGCCCTCTCTTTCCTCCCTCTCCCCCCCAGTATTCTGATCAATAAAGAAAAATCCCCCTGAATTCTGGCTTTCTTTTTCTGACTTTATTTTCATGCTCTTAGGCAAGAAATGACCAGGTAGAATCTGCCTGCTTCTGAGTTACTCTCCCTGGAAAGTAATCCAAGAAGCTCTGACTCAGGGGCAGGGCAGGAGCACAGCTGAGGAGCACGGGCAGGGCCTGTGCTGGCTACTTCCAGCACCTCTGGATTTGAGGCTGGTATCCCCCAGCACCCCAAGGCCTGAGAAGCCCAGCACCTTTGGGCCCTGGTATTTCACTGCTGGTGTAGCTGGCCAAGGATCAGCAGATGAGGCCTATGGGGCCCCCAGCTCTGCTTGGGAGGCCCAAAACACCCCCCTAAATAAACTATGTAATGCATATAATCAAAATTTGATAATCCATTAGCACCCAGGATAAACAAATCCCTAAGAGCAGTATGGTAAGGACCCACAGCATGAAGGCCAGGGCTGCGTGTCTAAAATGTGTCCACAGGACACCCCAGCCCTATAGTGCCCTCGAGGGGGGTTGGTGGGTCCAGGCTCTTACCCTTGGAGAAGTGGCTGTCCTCCTCGCATTCTTCCCAGTGATCAAAGTCAAAGGCCACATTAGGATTCTGTTCAACACAGCAGTTACACATTGAGAGGGCGTGAAATGTCCTCAGGTCACGACTGGCCACAGTTAATATGAACTCACCTTCTGTTTGAGCAAGCTGCACCAAGATTCCCTCTTCTCTTTTACAAGAGTGATGACAGGCTCGTCATTCTTGATCAGGCATTTGCAGTCGTCCTTTATGATGTTGGCCTCCAGGACCATGTCAGCCAAGTAAAATCTGTCTTCTACCCAGGCGCTGGGGTTTACAAAAGGCACTAAGGTCAACTGCTTTAGAAAATGATCTCTCTGGGGGTGGGAATGACAGGACAGTGGGTAGGATGCCTGCCTTGGAGGCTGCTAACTGGGTCCTGGCACCCCTACTGGTTCCCATGTCTACCAGGAGTGGTATCTAGGCAGATCCCTCATTAGAGTCGGGTGTGGCCCCAAAAAACCTCGAGGGGGAGGAAGATGAAGAAGGGAAGTAATGGGGAGCAGGGATCCTGGGTCTCAGGCACTTCTGTGGTGGAGAGGAGTGGGTCGGCTACATAACCAAACCAGTCAACTATGCTGAAGACACGGGATTCACACTGCCACCACCCAGCTTAAAGATGTGCCTGGCCAGGCGGCAGGCTGGGGGCGGGTGGGAACTTGGGAACCCTGGTGGAGGAAGTAGATGCTGGCCGTGGGATTGCTGATGGAGCACTACATGCCCAAAACTCAACTGTGAGTAACTTCGCAAATCACAGTTCTTTAGTAATAAAAAAATTTGAAAAATCTGCCCCCCTTCATTATCTTTTACTCTGTAAGATACACAGAGCTAAGACGGATCAACAAACTTACCTGAAAACAACTCTATCTTGAAAGTATTTACACTTGTAATCTTTCACATTCCTCAGCCTTATTCTCAGTATGACCACGTCATCCTTCTGGAACCACCTGACGTGGGGGTAGAAGCTGGAAACAGAGAAACATGCAGGAGCGTCAGACCCCGGGGGCGGGCTGGGGTGGAGCGGCTGTCTGCGGACACTGACCCAGGCCCACACACCTTTTCACAGGCTCTGTTCCGTTGCTCAGGGGGGCACCTCCAGTGTTGTCGGGGGCAGGTTCTGTAGGAGAAGTCAGATTTTCCTATGGGTTACATACCTGCAACTCCCAAGTATGTTCCCACTCTCGGTTCCTTTTAGTGAAGGCCCGAGTTGCTAAGCATATACATTTCTTAGTAATCTAAGTGTTCGGTTGCAAAGAATGACCAGAGACTAAACAAAATGATGGGGTTTCCCTGCCGCCACTGAGCCTGTTAAAAAGATTTCCAGAACCACCGGGATGTGTGAGGAGCAAACGCTCAACAGGACACTGTGCTAAGGGGGCGATTTCTGTCTGGGTCCCATGGTGCTGGCAGCCTTAGGCATACAGAGCTTGTGTTCCCCCACCCTGAACCATAGCCACAGCCCCAAAACAACATTTCAGCTGGAAGCATTCGAAGCTTCCAGGCTGATTCGAACAGCAACATTCAGAACAGCTTTAATAATAATGACCAAAAAAAATGGTAACAGTCACTAAGGAAACATTAAAAAAGTACTGCTGGGAAAGGGCACGGAGCCACAGGACAGCAGGGAGGGCGCTCGCCTCGCACACAGCCAACCCTGGGTTTGATCCCCAGCACCCCATATGCTCCCCTGAGCCTGCCAAGAGTGATCCTTGAGTACAGAGCCAGGAGTCAGCCTTAAGCACTGCCAGGTGTGGGACAAAAACAACAATGACAAAATGACTGCTGGGATTTCAGTGACATGGGTGGATGTCACACATGGCATGAAGGCACCCACATGCTGGAGACGGCACGAGCACTGTGGGTGGGGGTGCACCGGAGGTCACACCCTGAAGGGCTCTACCTGACTGTGCACCTCAGGCCCCTCAGAAGTGATCCCTGAGCACAGAGCCACGAGTTGTGCCCTGAGCAATACCAGGGCCCAAAATCCCAAATAATATGCTTATTATCACTGCATATTAAATAACCCAATATATGTTTTTAAAAGGACCAAACAAAAACGTCCTCTGAATAGTCAAAACTACCGAGTCCCTTTACTCTAAATTTACCCTCTCTAGAATGCACCCCCAAAGGGGAAAGCCTAATGGGAAAATTCCCAGGCAGAGACAACCGTCAGGCACAACCAACCGTGCTGGGGGTTTTCTGCGTTTTTCTTGGAGTTAGCGGCTCTTTCTGAGTCCTTGTCTCCTGGCTGGGTGCTGGGAAGACCAGCGACATCCTCCGCTGAAGCAGGCGCCCTGGAGAGAGGAGACGATGTGAAGGCCGAGCCTTGAGGAGACAGGCAGGGACAGGCAGGGACAGGCAGGGACAGAAAGGGACAGAAAGGGACAGGCAGAGACAGGCAGAGATGGACTCTGGCCACAGGGCCTCCAATCTGCAGTGACAGGCAGGTGGTGGCCCTTCCACGCGGTCTGACCCGCCACTGGCCTGCAAGGGGAGAAGGGCTGAAGACCTCTGCTGCCTCTGTGTTGGAACCACGTATGCACGAAAAGTATAATTTAAGAAGTATAATGTTGTAATCACAGAACCTCAAAAATAGTAAAGGGGAAGGAAAAGAATAAGCTTTACCACAATTTAAAGGAAAAAAGCCAAATATTAGAAATGTTGTTGTACTTTAATACACCGAAAAAATGTAGAGTGGTGTTATAGGGCCAGAGCAATAGCACAGCAGGGATGGCATTTGTTTTGCATGCGGCTGACTTGGTTTTAATTCCTGGCATCCCATATAATCCCCCAAGCCCACCAGGAGTAAACCCTGAGCACAGCTGGGTGTGGCCTAAACGCCCTCCCTCCCAAAGTTACTTATTTAGGATTTGCCTTTGTTGTTGTTGTTGTTGTTGGAGAAAAGGGGGGTGCTCGGGGGTCACTCCTGGCTCTGCACTCAAGAATTACTCCTAACAGGGCTCAGAGGACCATACAGGATGTCAGGGATTGAACCTGAGTCAGCCACATGCAAGGCAAGAGCCCTACCCGCTGAACTATCTCTTTGGCCCTAGATTTGTCTTTTAATACCCACCACTAAAGGAAGTATTGATTTGGATGTGGATAAAACAAGATTTCCCAAATTTTGATAATTATTAAATATACATGCTGGTACATGGAAACTCACTAAACACTTCTATTTCCATTAAAAAAAAAAACAAAAATCAAAACAAATAAACAAAAACCACCTTTCATGTTGGGACGGTGGTATTTCCCCTCAAGAAAGGGAGGCTCATCACTAATCATCAGGGAGATGCAGATCAAAACAACAATGAGATATCATTTCATACCACAGAGACTGGCCCACATCCAAAAAAACAAAAGCAACCGGTGCTGGCGCGGATGTGGCGAGAAAGGGACCCTCCTTCACTGCTGTTGGGAATGCCAACTGGTCCAACCCTTTTGGAAAACAGTATGGACGATTCTCAAAAAATTAGAAATTGAGCTCCCATTTGACCCAGCAATACCACTCCTGGGAATATATCCCAGAGAGGCAAAAAAATATAGTCAAAGTGACATCTGCAATTGCTTGTTCATTGCAGCAAAATTCAATAGCCAGAATATGAAAAAAAACTGAGTGCCTGCGAACAGATGACTGGTTAAAGAAATTTTGGTACATCTACACAATGGAGTACTATGTAGCTGTTAGAAAAGATGAAGTCATGGAATTTACATACAAGTGGTACTACATGGAAAGTACCATGTTAAGCAAAATGAGTCAGAAAGAGAGGGATAGACATAAAAAGATTGCATTCATCTGGGGAACATAAAGTAACAAAATGGGAGACTAACACCCAGGAGTGGCCGGGATTAGTACCAGGAATTTGGCTCCATGACTTGGAGCCCAGCCACACATGCTAGGGGAAAAGGGAGCTCAGATAGAGAAGGGAGCACCAAATAAAGGGTGTTGGGAGGATCCTCCCAGGATGGGAGAAGCATGCTGAAAGTAGACAATAGACTAAACATGATTGCCACTCAATGCCTCTCTTGCAAACCACGACACCCAAAAGGAGAGAGAGAACAAAAGGGAATGCCCTGCCACAGAGGTAGGGTGCGATGGGGGGATGGGGGGGTGGGAGGGATGCTGGAACCCGTGGTGGTGGAGAATGGGCGCTGGTGGAGGGATGAGTACTTGATCACTGTATAACTGAAACCCAAGCACAGAAATTTGTAAGTCTATAACTGCACCTCATGGTGTTTCACTAATGAAAAAAAAAATAAAAAAATTTTTTTAAAAAAAAGGGAGGCTCAGATTCACTTACGTTGTCGGGATCGGGTGTTCTTCACAGGGCAGCACTTCTTTGAATAATTTCTCCAGTTGTTCGATATGTTCTGAATTGTCAACACCCATGCCCATTGACAGAATTTCAGCTCGAACGTTATAATCAATGATAGAAGTTTTCAAATTTGAAAGTTTGGTGATGTGCACCTGGACTCAAAGAAAAACAACGTCAGGAAACTCAGCAAGCCTCGAGGGAGCACCCCTCGCCCGGGGCCCACCCCCAGCCCTGCAGTGGCCTTTGTGGAGTCCATGCCCCGTGCACAAGCATTTGCCACGGTAGCACCTGCACGCACAGCCTCCAGCCGATATCAGAGCCCACCAATCCCACCTGCAGAACCAGCACCGGGTATGGATGAGGTTACACTTGGTCTCGGGACCAGTGACACTCAGACCTGTTATTTGACACTCCCACCTCTCTTCCCAAGGGCGAGCCTGAGCTGGGTCTCAGATGCCCAGGAAAGGCTCACACCTGGGTCCTAAGTCTTGTGTTAGCAGAAAGGCTGCTCTTTTCAGCTTCCAAACCCCTCTCTTCTGTTTCCGGTGCATAAGAGAAAGGAAGCACGAAGATGTGCAGCTTTCGCCCCCCCAGCAGCGGGGAGGCAGGGAGGCTGCCATGCACCCGGGAACCCTCCTGAGTGAACCCTCAATGTGTGCTCCTAGCTGCAGCAGTGCAGAACCTTCCTCCACACAAATGAGCTGGTGTGGGTCAAGAGGCTACGGCTGGGGCTCTCCTCCTAGCCCAGCTCCCCGGGGAGCGGCAGAAGCATGTCCGGGCTTCTCTGCCTGTCCCACTCTCGAAGCTCAGGGCTGGCCACCACGCCTCGGCTGAGACGCCCAGACTTCCACTCATAATACTTCAGATAAATGAACACAAGCAAACCTCCCTCGGGATTGGAAGGTGACGTGACTGTGAACACAAGGGGCTGTGACATCATTTACAACCAGCCAGAGAAGCTGCTGCTACACAGGCTGGGACCAAGATGCAGTGTGAGACCTGGAGACTGTCCATGTGGTAGAATAGCCGAACAGTTTCAGCAAGTTTCTGTGAAAGCAAAGCTTCTGTGATACAAACAAGGGTGTGTGTGTGTGTGTGTGTGTGTGTGTGTGTGTATGAGAGAGAGAGAGAGAGAGAGAGAGAGAGAGAGAGAGAGAGAGAGAGAGAGAGAGAGAGAACAAGAACTGAGGGTGTATGGGAGAAAGACAGATACAACCTGGGAGTGTGTATGAGAGAAAGAAAACTGAGGGTGTGTGAGACAAATAGAACTGAGGGTGAAAGGGTGTGTGTGTGTGTACGTGTGTGTGTGAGAGAGAGAGAGAGAGAGAGAGAGAGAGAGAGAGAGGAGGAGGGGGGAGGGAGAGAAGAAGAGAGAACTGAGGGTGTGTGAGAAAAAGACAGAGACAAATACAACTGAGGGTGTGTGTGTGTGTGTGTGTGTGTGTGTGTGTGTGTGTGTGTGTGAGAGAGAGAGAGAGAGAGATACAACTGAGGCTGTGTCTTTGTGTGAATGTGGATCAAGTCTGGGCATTAAGTTACAAATATGAAAAATTCCCTACAAGAAAACGAAAGCACACCAACCAAATTTACGACCAAAAACAATGAAAAATCAACATCTCCCTGACACTGGGCCAAACATGGCTTTAATTTATGGTCAAATTTATTCAAGTATTTAGTGTTTATTCAAGTATAAATTAGAGTATATTAGATAACATAAGGTACCCATTCAAACACTTTAAAGGAAAGTATATACTCACCATTGGATCGATCCAAACCGTATTCCCCAAAGCCAGTATCACTTTTGCATCATGTGGTTTTCCAATAATTTTGTGATGAATATACCTAGTAACCTGAAAAATGAATTTCTCTAATGTATTAAGCAAACAGCTTACCCTGGGGCCAGGGAGATGGCTCACAGGGCTGGGGCAAACACTTTGCGTGCAGGAGCCCAGGGCTGGTCCCCTGGAGCCCTAGGACTAAACCACGGCCCCATCCTTCAAGCCTGGAGCTGGGAGTGGCCCTAAGCACCCTGGGTACGGACCCAAACAAACAGAAATGTGGTCTGCATATAGCCACGCAAATACTGACCCATACACTTCATTAGAGCCCCACCAGCACGGCACGAGGCAACCATCATGCCTCTTGCGTTGGCGAGCTGGGCTGCTGATGCTGAGTTCCCAGCAGCTTCTGCCTTGGGGCTCTGCGCACTGCTCCCTCTCATGGGGACACGCCCGCATCTCTGCCCAACAGTCAGCCTGGCTTCACAGTGTGGCCCGTTCTTCCAGCAACAGCTCCGGCTGCACCCAAGGAGCGGGTTACAGTTCCGCAACCTTGCTGCACTCAGCAATGAGCCAGGCCACCCTTCCCTGACACGTGGCTGCTCTTACCCCAGGGAGAACCACCACAGAGGGGCCTGGTCCAACCCCGCTGGGGAAAGCTTTAGTTCCAATTTAAAGCAGAAGGGATGGGAGGGGGCCAGCTTGCCACGATCCGGTCGTTTCTCTCTCCCTTCAACTGTAAACCCCGGGAGAAACTCTCCACATATTTTAGAGAAGACTCCTCTTCAAGACACACTTGAGTTCAATCTCCTGACAGACCACATGTTTCTTGAGATCAAGGACCCTGACCTCTTTGCTGACAGCTCCCAGAAGACCCACATGGTACCAGCACACAAGGGACACTTGGTTGGGGCCCTACAGAAGGAAAAAATACATGGTGGGCCAGAGCGATAGTACAGGGGGGTACAGTGTATGCCTTGCATGTGGCTGACCCAGGTCTGATCCCTGGCATCCCACAGAGTCTCCTGAACACACTAGGAGTAATTCCTAAGTGTAGATCCAGAAGCTACCCCTGAGCATTATCAGATGTGTGCCCCCAACCACAAAGAACTCAATGGGAATGGAGCAATAGTAAAGCAGGTGGGCGCCTGCCTTGCATGTGGCCAATCCAGGTTTGATCTCTGTACTCCATATGGTCTCCTAAGCCTGACAACAGCGACCCGTAAGCAGAGTCAGGAAGTGCTGAGCACCACCAGGTGTGGCACACAAAAAAATCAACCAAAGAAACAAACAGAAACAAGGCGGAAAATAGCTATTATAAGAAAGTTTTTTTGTTGTTGTTTTTGCTTTTTTGGTCACATTTGGTGTTGCACAGGGGTTACTCCTGGCTCTGCACTCAGGAATTACTCCTGGCGGTGCTCAGGGACCATATGGAATGCTGGGAATTGAATCTGGGTTGGCCACATGCAAGGCAAATGCCCTACCCACTGTGCTATCACTCCAGCCCCCTAAGAAAGTTATTTTTTGTTTTGTTTTTATTTAGCCACACCTGGCAGTGCTCAGGACTTACTCCTGGCTCTGTGCTCAGGGACTGTTCCTGAAAAGGCTTGGAGGATGCTGGGAATCACATTCAGGTCAGCTGCATACAAGGCAAGCACTGTATCCGCCCCACTATACTATCTCTCTGAACCAGAAAGTTATTTTTCACTAAATTTAGTAGTACAGAATTTGGTACAAATGTCTGTGCGGTTGGTACCTGTATCGTGAGCATATCCTGTATGGTGGAAATGTTCATTTGTGTACTGCCTGGCTACTATATAAACTGGTTTATAACTCAAACTGTTTCTGCCAGTTGCAAAGATTTACTTCGTATCCTCCCAAGAAGATACAACAAAATTCACCAAAGCTTCCTCTGAAGAATGTGGAGCATCAATATGATGGGGACCCAGTGCCCTGGTGATGAGTGAGGGTGGTGCCGACCTGTCCCCAGCACCACGGACAGCGCCAGGGCTGAGAGGCATACCCCTCCCTGCCGCTCCAACATTGATGGTGGTGACATCCTTGCTATGCATCCGAAAGGGCCCAGGGGAATGCAGCTGCCCCTTCCTGTCCTGTCTCCAGGAATGCCTGTCAACTATGTGGCCCTGCCCCCTGTCTTGATAGGGCAACCACTTCCATAGGTATTACATGACTTTCTGATGGCCAGTGAACTTTATCCTGCCCTCTGTTTTACACCAGTGCTTCATATCTGAATCACAGTACCCCACCCAGACCTGCAGGGGCCTGGGCTGCAGTGGGCTTGTGCTCCTATGCATACAGAAAAGCAGCCTGGCACGTGACCTCAGAGGCCTCGATTCTGTCTAGGGTCTGTGTTTTATGTGTCGTAACAGTCCAAGAGCTCACCTTTGGATTCCACTCAATTTCGCTATCGGCGGGCTTGACTCGACACACGATAAACTCCATGGCTTGTGGGGGCAGCGTGTGGAAACGGTCTGGGAGATGCAGCAGCTGGTCTCGGGTGACAAGCCCCGTCCTGCCCTCATCTATGAAATTGACCAGGACACTGTCCAAGACGTAGGTGTCTTCCTTTGCACTCTTCTCCAACACCTGGACCCTGGAGTGTAATGGAGCTGTCACTCGGACACAGAGACTTAGCACCACAGATTTAAGAGTCTACGTCTTAGCTGCATGGTTCTATTTCATAGTAGAGATCAAGTCACTTCCAAGTGCAGTTAGTAACAATATATTTAATTAAAACATATGTAAGGATTTTTAAAAAGTGTATGCAATACTTTTGTATTGAGCCCTTCCAAGCAAATTAATGGAGCAGATTCCATTTTCATCAAAATGACCTCAAACAAACCTAAGGAAGGTCACCAAGATCGGGTTGGCTGCTCTCAAAATGGGAAGGATACCCGAGGTACAGGGATTCTCTAAGGATGAAGAGTGACAGATAGGTACATGTGACCCAGAGATGGCCAGATATATACCCATTTAAGGTCACATGAGCTTCCAGGAGCATCATGTGTACAACTGGGCCAGATGTCTGGGTGGACACACACTGAAGGCACCTTCTGGGGGACACCAGGCTCTCCCATGTGCTGTGGGCCAAATGGACTGAGATGAAACTAGGCTTCCGGGCTGAAGTGATCATACAGCTTGCCTTTCATGCATTTAACCCGAGTTCTATTTCCAGCATTTCACTGGGTCCCCCAAGCTCTCAGGAGCACAGAGCCAGGAGACAGCCCTGAACACTGCCAGGTGTGGTCCCCAAACAAAACAAACGTATTTAGGGTTTGATGCTGTTTAAGACTTCTCATGCTTCACAAAGTTTAGCGAAGAAGTACAAAGACATTTTACCTATGAAAAACTGCTTTTTCTGCCAATCCATATAATCCAAATTTCTCCACCTTTTCAACAGTTGTTTTATTATTAAAATCTTCAAAATATGCCTTCATTTCAGCATTCAGAGTTTCATAAAGATCCACATGTTTATCAATTATACGACCAAAGTATTTTGTTGCGTTCAAAATATAAAAGGGTATAATCTGAAACATACACGGTAAGCATAGTCAGAAAACAATCTAAATCTAAACGTATCTGCTGAAATCAGCACTTAAGAGCATGCGCACAAGTGCGCGCGCGCACACACACACATACATACACAAAGAATTCAGACATAGGATAGAAAATTAGCCCCCAATAAAAATGAAAACCTTATCACCACATAAAGTTCTACTTTAAATCTACTAAAAGATTTCTGAAGATAAATATTATTTATCATGAAACTTCGTTATTATGGGCAAACATTCTGTTTATTTATTTTGTAATGTTTTGTAAAAACCCTTGAAACAGCAGCATCTCCATTTCCTGAGACCATTCAGACCTGGGTTCTTGCAACAACCAGTGTTCTGTGTATGAAGCACGGAGGTGACAGAGAAGCCACATCCACTGGGGCACAGCAACCAGGAGGTCACATGAGCCAGCTGAGCACGTGTGAGGAAACATTAGTTGGACAGGTGAAGGTGGCATAAAGATGTCTGCGTGCCTGAGCACCAGCACCCCCAAGTCCTCCAGTCTTGTTTGTTTTTTTCTTCTTTTTGGGGTGTAATACTAACAGGAGGGGACTGGTATGCACGACCAGGAGAAGTCGGGAATGCATGAGGAACAGGGACGTGGGCTGTGCGCAAGGAGTGTCAGTTAGCAAGAGTGGGGGGCATGGAGAGGTTCTTAGGCCTTCAGCCGTTTCATTTTCTCCCTAGTGCTGGGATCAGCCCTAGCATCTTTCTGGGGGTAGAGTGGAGGGAAAATGACTTTCTGCATTCCATTTTTTTTGAGGGGTGATACTGGAATTACATTAATTATATGGGTGCATTCCCTCATTTTTATAACCATCTATAAATTTAGACTGATAAGAGCCCATTCTTTAGAATGATATGCTCTCTCCTAGGTTTTAACTGTTTGGATGCTTAGCTGGATTGTCTGAACCAAAACAGCAGCATCAAACACACATCACAGCCTCACTGCCAAGTGTAACTTCACTGTCAGGTGTGAGAGCTGCCTTTTAAGACAAAGTGTATGGTCACTTTTTTTTTAAGGCTTTCTGGGAAAGCTTACATTTTAGTAAAGTGGTATTTTTGTTGCTGTTGTTTCCATTAAAAAATGCCTTTTTTTCCTGTTTGTATGTTTGTTCTGGGGCCATACACAGCAGTGCTCAGGGCACCATATGTGGCGCTGGGGATGATATCCAGGTTGGCCACGTGCAAAGTAAGCACACAAGGCACATAGCGTCTGGGCCCCAGGCAGTCTGTGGGGGCCCAGTAGCCAGCTGAGCACGTGTGAGGAAACATTAGTTGGACAGGAGAAAGTGGCATAAAGATGTCTGCGTGCCTGAGCACCAGCATGCCCAAGTCCTCCAGTTTTGTTTGTCTTTTTTTGTTCTTTTTGGGGTGTAATACCAACAGTGGTCAAAGCAAGTGTTGGTTGGAACTGGCTCCAGGAGATTAGTAAGACGCGGCCTAGAGCAGGAGTACAGTGTGGAAGGAGACAATGCACAGGCCTGACGAAAGGAAAGGTGGGAAGAGAACAGGTAAAAACGTAGGAAGACCGTGCTTGGAGGGATTCAGAGCAAAGTGAGAACTCAGCTCTTCCTTAAGTGAATGATTAGGGATTGTTGTGTATCGGCCCTGCATTATTCCTAATAGTCATCAAAAGGAAACAACCCCCTTTCTGAAAACAAAATATTTGTTGAAGTCATTCCTCCATTCTCAGCTTGATCTTGATTTTCTTTAAATGCTGGGGCTTTAAAGATTAGCACTTCTCAAGGGGCCAGGCCCACCACCATAGGTTTAAGGCTGTACATGAATACTGACCACTGGGCATCATCACTATATTCTACTAGGATTCTCTTGCTTAAGAATGTGAAACATGTTCATGAAAATAACCATTAATCATTCAACAAAAGGACCTGTAACAGAACTTACTTTAATGTAACCAAACTTGGGTAGATCCTGGTTTGAAAATTTCCTTGACATGTCTATTTCTGGATTAATATGATGTCGGTCAGGACATATCCTTTTGTCTCTGAAAAAAAGTAAATAGATTTTTTTTTTACAGCAAATGAAAACAACCCAGTTACATGTATTTTTTAAATTTAAGTTTTTGGGCATTGCTGGAGACTAAACCCAGGGCACCACACATGTGAGCTCTGCACTCTGCCACTAACTCACATCCCTGACCTCAAATAATCACAATTTTCAAATGAATTAAAAGTTTTCCTCAGGAAATTCATCTGTAATTGAAATCAGAGAACTCCTACTCCCAGCAACTTAAAAATGAATAGAAATATTCAACTGACACTAAGAATATGTAAATAAGTTGAAAGGAATCCTTTAATTTAATACTAAATAAATTTAAAAGCATTCCTTTATTCCGGCCCTAGGCAGTCTTCAATGCAATATATAAATGAACAAAAGGTATTCCCAACATATACTCTAAGTTAGAAATACATCAATAGATCTCACAAGTCCAATTAAACCATAACTCAAAGTCATTCCTTTACTCAAACTGAGAATGATCTGCAATCTCATTGTAAATTCTCATTTTCATCATTCTCAAAGCGTAATGTAAACATTTTATAAAGGCATTATAGAATATAAGGCTAATAACCTACTTCACATGCCAAACTTTTAAAAAGTTATGGTCGACTTTAATACCTTTAATGTTAACCCACTAAGTTTCAGACATCTACTATCCCATCCCATCAGCCAATTAATGACTGGCATATAACTGATCAGTGCCAATATCTGTTAAGATAAAGAGATCACAGTCCCCAAACTAACTTTTAAAATTAATGTAGTTGCTATCAAATTTCCCACTGGGATTTTTGAAGGAATCCACAGGCCCATGCTTATATGTGTAAGGACAAACAAGAGCCTGGAAACAGCCAGACTTCCTGGAAGCTGAGCACAGCTGAAGACCCATGAGCATGCCAGGTGTCACCCTCACTGCCTCAACCCCCACCAAAGGGGGAAAGACCTGAACAGGGTCACCAGAAGAGAGGACGGTCACACATCCCACAAATACATGAAGACATTCGACATCATTATCGGGGAAATAAGAACCCACAATAGTTTATCACCACACACTTGGGAAAATACTTCATCGATTCAGAGCAATTACAATTCATCCAGTTAGTAAATGGGCCCAGTAAGTGATCAATCTCTTTGGAAGAAGTGAACATATGTTGGGGCTGGAGTGACAGCACAGCGGTAGGGTTGTTTGCCTTGTGTGCAGCCAGCCTGGCCGAGCCGGGTTCGATTCCTCGGCCCCTCTCAGAGAGCCTGGCAAGCTACCGAGAGTATGCAATATGCCAAACACAGTAACAAGAAGTCTCACAATGGAGACGTTACTGGGCCCACTTGAGCAAATCAATGAACAATGGGAGGACAGAACATATGTCTACCCCCCACCAGCAATTCCACTCTAAATTGTACCTGTACCCAAGAATGAAAAGGGCATGTTTTCACAAAAAGTCAGGCACAAAAGGCTTTGTAGACCAAACTGGAAACAACCCATGGGCCCCTCAATGTCTCCTGGGAGACCGGCTACTAAGGCTCAAGCAAACGGCGCAGGGGTCTGAGGGTATCTCGAGGGCGCTGTTTCAGAGCTGGGAGGTGCTTTACATGGGAAAAGTCACCGAGCTGCAAACGTCTCCACTTTCGGTGTTACATCTCAGTGTCAAAAGATGAGGCTTACTTGCAAAACCCAAAAGCCTTAAGGTATGGACAGAGAGGCCTTCTCGCTTTCTTATCTTCTTTGGCTTCCAGGACTCCTGCTGTGAACTCATACAGCTGGGACGGGATCTTGGCGTCTGCTCGTTCCAAGTAGCGAAGAATACCGACTGCATGGCATGCGTTTCTCTCTGTCAGCAGCAAGACAGACTTGGTCTTCCTGTCTCCCTGCTCTGCGGGAGATCCCTGAGGTTGGGGGAGAATAAGAGAACTGGATCACCCAGAGCAACCTGTGGGCGCTGAATTTGTCATTACATGGAAGACACCCATGGGAGAGAGAGATGATAAAAGTCAATCAAACCTGTTCGGTTGTACCCTGGAAATGATCAGACATGCAATAGAGGCGTGCACCAAAAATCTTGGGTGAAGAAGGGAAGCTGAAGTGGATCACACAGGTCGCATCAGTGATGGCCAAGAGTGGGATGCAGTCATCTGTTAAGGCTGGAGAGAGGATCGTGACCATTTCAAACAAGCCTGAAATCTCACTGCACGCATGTACTCTATGGGTAATCCCAATAACCAGACATCGCATTTCTTTTTTGTTTTGGGGACACACTGGTGGTGCTCAGGGCTCAATTCTGGGTCTGAACTCAGGGATCCCTCCTGGCAGTGCTCTGGGGACCATCTGAGATCACCGGGACTGAACCCATATTGGGCCACATGCAAGGCAAGCACTCTACTTGCTGTGCTATTTCTCCAGTCCCAACACATTTCTTCATTGCATTTACTTTTTAAATGAAAAGAAACCCTTTTTTCTATTATTCTCCCCCACCTGCCCACAAAAAAGGTCAGTCCAGTGACTACAGTTAGAAAAAAAGTGATCTCCCTTTTAGCTTGAAAGCGGCCTCTTACTACAAACACAGGCTGCCCACATACGATTTTATGTTTTGAGTTTTATACTTCTCGTATTGAATCTATCTTGTGTGTGTGTGTGTGTGTGTGTGTGTGTGTGTGTGTGTGTGTGTCACACCTGGTAATGCTGAACCACTCCTGGTGGTGCTTGGGGGACCACATGGGATACCAGGGACCAAACCTTACCTGCTGTGCTATCTCTCCTGCCCCTCTGATATTAAATTTAATACTCATTTATGACCATGTTTCACCCAAGTCAACTATTTGTCGCTGATCCTCAATGTCTCCCCGAAGGCTGCTGCTGACCCCAAGGCCCCTGGGGTGCTGACCTCTGCCTCAGCATCCCACCTGGGGCATCGCTCTCTTGTTGATGTGCACATTGCTAATACATTTTCAGTGATGAGGGAAAGAGGAACCTGGGCGGCGACACATACAGAACAAGATTCTCCTTAGTTCAGCCTCTCTAGACGTATGGAGTTGAGACACTTACCTAACACAATGTGAGAGCCAGAACTTAACTTCTTCTTCCACTGCTCTAAAACACTCTTCATGTTAAAGATCAAGTCTTTGTGCATTTTCAGGCAAAATATTGAACTGCTTTCTACAACCTGGAGAGAAAACCAGACAGCCCAGTTCCCAGTCAGTGGAGCAGGCTATGAACATCAGCTGTCGCTGCTATGAACCGAACCATCAGGTCTTACTGAACTCACCCACTAATCCTGGAGAAGGAGATGACAGTAAAACAAAATGGATTCTGAAATTCTACAGTTTATAGCTAGACATATAGTCAAGTGAATTAACTGATTAAAAAATTTTTTTCATTGAGTTTCCATCTGACCCAGAAATTCTGCTTCTGGGAACGTACCCTAAGTGGCCCAACAAAACGCAGCAGAAAATTCATCTGCACACCTCTGTTCACCTCAGCATGGCCCACAGTAGCCAGAATCCAGAAACAACCTGAGTGCCCCAAAGCACATGACAGGATAAAAAAACCATGGTACGTCTACAAAAAGAAATACCATGCGGCCACCAGGAAAATGAAGTCATGAAATTTGCTTATCCATCGGTGGACATGGAGAGTTATCATCCTGAGTTAAATCAGAGAGAGAGGACAGACATAAAATGGTGTACTCATTTGCAGGATATTAAAAAAAATAGTATGTGAATAATACGCAAAGACAGTAGAAACCAGAGCCAGGAGGACTGGTCCATGGTTAAAAACTTGCCACAAAGGGGGAGGGGGAGTGTAATTAGGACAGGGAAGGGACTCTATGACAATGATAGCTGGAAATGATCACTCGGGGCAAAAACTGAGTGTTGAAAAGAGTTAAAGTGATATACATGATACCCTTTAAGTAGCAGTACTGCAAATCACAGTGCCTAAAAAGAAAATGAGAGAGAAAGACCTAGAGAGAAGGAAAGTCTCTGCCATAGAGGCAAGCAGTAGGGATGGTGTTGGGTAGACTGGGGTGTGGGGGAGTGGAGGGAGAGAGACATCAGTGGTAGGAAATGTGCACTGGTGAAGGGACAGTTCTTGAACACTGACTGAAACTCAATCATGAGCAAATTTGTAACTGTATATATCATGGTGATTCAATTATACAATTGTTTTAGATTTAAAATTATCTACACTATTTATAAATTAGAGTGTAGAACTTTTACAAAATCCCTGAAGATTAAAGAGGGGATCTCAGTCAATCACAAACTTGTTTGGAGTCATTTGGGGTATGAGTGAAATCCTCATTGAACTATTTCTCCAGCCTGGCAAGCCCTGCAGTAGTAATGGTCAGAACTATACCTCTATTTATCATTTTGAAATTACATCAAAATTTCAACCTGTAGAAAAATGCTAGAGGGCTGGGGAACTAGTATGGACAGTAGGGTGCTTGTCCTGCATGTGGCCGAGACCCAGGTTCAATCCCTGGCATCCTGAGCCCCTCCAGGAATGATCTCTGAGCACAGAGCCAGAAGCATTAAGTCCTGAGTAACACCAGGGGTGCTCAAAAGCCAGTTAAATAAAATAAAAATAAAAAATACAAAACCAAGATGATCTATACATTCACTGTATATACATAAATCTATTTACACACAATTGATGGTGCTCTTTTCAATAGAGGCTTTCTCCTACCACAGCTTCTAGATCTTACTTCTATGGCGTGTTAGATACAGTTCTGTTTTATGTGCTCTCATCAGTATTTCTCAAAGTGGATGAAACGTCCTGCGGCTGCTTGACAACCCAAGATGATTGGGTGCAATTGCAGGGACGCTTTTGGCTTGTTCAATGAAAGAAGGTGGATTTCCAGGGGTGGCACTGAGTCATCATTTGGTTTTGGTTTTGGTTTGTTGTTGTTTTCTCTGAAAAGGGGGCAGTAGGCTGAGTAAGTTTGAAACCTCAGTTCAACATCTTAGAATTGATAGAAATTAATCTTCGGCCAGATTATTGACTTTTCTAGCTATGTGATGCCATCACTTCGTGTCATTTTCTCTTGGACAACCAAGGTACGGGAGATGTTGGGGTTTCTTCATGAATCAGATCTTCTGAATGTTCTGCCCTTACAAAATACAATGCACTGGCTGCCTCCCTCGGTTGGCTTGGGGGAAGCTGGCTTCCGTGGGTGGTGACGGTGCCCGGGCTCCTGCCCTCAGGGGTAGCCCTGGGCCCCTCTGCACCATGCCAGCGTCAACAAAACCTACCTTTTTGGATGAATGAGAAACATGACAGTTTACACCCTGTCCAGTACTTCACTGTCCACAGCATTCACGGCCACATGAGATCCATCACAGTTCAAATGCACATTCCGTCCTGAACTACCCGAACCCCACCCTGCGAGGTGCAAGCCCTTCCTGTCAGCCTAAGTTAAGGACCCAGCCTCCCCTTTCTCCTCTCAAAGAGACTACATGATGACCCACCGCTTCACTTAAAAGAGACTTTAAAAAGACGTGGAGAAGGGCTCACCTTAGACACGATCTCCGTCTCAGCTTCTGAACAAGTGAAAATCAAGGTCTTTTGTGCTTGACTGGGAACAAAATCAAGAGTCTGGAGCAAAGTGGAGGTTTTTTCACTTTCGAGGCAAAGGTGCACTATCTGACAACAAAATGCAGAAACACTGTGATTTTATAAAAAAAAAAGTTCAAGATGCTCCGTTTGTAACTTCTTATAGGTAGTTACAATTAAAATGGGAAAGGGGTGCAGATGAAATATACTGAAATTTAAATGCACATGAATAGATTTGTGCAAAAAACTGAAGCTTCTTTCGAAAATAAGGTCCCTTGCTTGTGCTCCCGAGATCACCCCCCCCACCCTGAGCCCCTGCACCACCTGCTAGACGCTTCCGTTCAGTCCCCTGCCCCACCCCCACATCACATCACCTGCTGGACACTGCCGTGGAGTCCCACGCCCCCCGAAACCCACATCAACTGCTGGACACTGCCATTCAGACCCCCATCCCATGCCCCCCCACACCTGTTGGACACTGCCATAAAGCGCGGCCTCCTCCAGGGCGGTGATCACGATGTGCGGGTCATTCATGAATTCCTTGATTAAATGTTCTATGTGTTTGTTCCAGTGGACGCCAACGGCGACAATCTGATGTGGTGCAGACTCCCTTTCTTCAACCTCAGTATTTTTTTTAAAGTTATCTAATATAGCAAACATCTAAAAAAAATCAGAGATAGAATTCTTTCTTTTTTAAAAAATCTCAAAACAAGGAGGCTGGAGTGATAGTACAGCGGATAGGGTGTTTGCCTTGCATGCTGCTGACCCGGGTTCGATTCCCAGCATCCCATATGGTCCTCTGAGCACCGCTAGGAGCAATTCCTGAGTGCAAATCCAGGAGTAACCCCTGTGCATCGCTGGGTGTGACCCAAAAAGCAAAAAAAAAAAAAAATCTCAAAACAAGTAGGATTTCATTGACAGAACTAAGAAGCATCCATTCTTGTTCTCAGGGTGGGACAAACCTTTCCAGACCAAAAGAATCCCAAAGGAAAAAATGTTAAATGACATCAAAAGGCAAACACAAAAAACATGGTGTGGTGGGGGACCTAGGTGAAAGATTGACCCCGCTGAGGACAAAGTTCTGTGACCTGAGCAGAGAAAGATGAGCTTGGTGGCAGCAAACAAGCAGCTCCCAGGAGGAGCCCAGGTGGCCAGGCTGAGCTCCAGCTCCACGTGACAAGGGTCCTGGGAGCTCTAGGCTTGGGAGATGCCGTGAAAACTGAGCCCAGGTGCCCCAGACCCAGCAGCACAGACTGAAGGGAGTGTGACTCGGCCCGGCTTCAGGAGTGCAGTGCAGGGCGGTGCCGGAACCTGGCCCACTTAGTTAGGAAGTGACCAGGCTTGGGCCTGAACCTGGGGCTGTCACAGTCACAGCTCCCAAAAGATGGTCCCCAGTCATCATGTCATACTGCTTCCAATAAGTGCCCTGCAGGACTCCAGTCTCTGATGCAGGACTCCCTTCCTGTGGACTTCTGAGGGGAACGTGCAAAAATATTTTATTCTCTAGACACAGACAAGATCCATTGTAATTACTGGTTTTGGCATATCGAATACACAACAGATAGCTTGCGAGGCTCTGCTGTGCGGGCGGAATACTCTCGGTAGCTTGCCAGGCTCTCTGAGAGGGATAGAAGCTTTTGGGGCGGTCTCTAATCACCCTTGTAGGTGTTCCCATGGTTCAAACCATATTTGAACCCTATCAAATACGGTATGGCAATTCTGGAAGATGGATATTAAGTGTCTTATAAAGCAGCCGCACGGTCCGAAAAGCGTCCTGGAGCATAGCGGCGGCTGGGTAGTGGAGGTAGTGTCTGTCATCTACAAGCTGTTCACTCGAGTCATCCTGAATAGGACTGGCAGAATACTAGATGAAGGACAACCATGGGAGCAAGCCGGGTTCCGCAAAGGATTCAGCACTATCGACCATATCCACACGATAACCAAGCTCACTGAGATTTCTCAGGAGCTCAAGATGCCGCTTTGTCTAACGTTCATTGATTTAAAGAAGGCCTTTGATTCTGTTGAGACGGAAGCGGTCATTGAAGTCCTAGCCAATCAGGACATTCAAGCCCAATACATCAAGATCCTCCGTGAGCTGTATTGCGGATTCACTACCAGGATCTCACCGTTCTACAAAGAAGTAATCATTGATGTCAAGAGAGGGGTGCGGCAGGGTGACACCATTTCACCGAAACTCTTCAGTGCCACCCTCGAGAACATCATGCGACGACTGGAATGGGAAGGAATGGGAGTGAAGATAGATGGTCGGCAACTACACCACCTCCGCTTTGCTGATGACATTGTTTTAATAACACCAAACATCAGCCAAGCGGCACAAATGCTGGCCGACTTCGACCCTGAGTGTGGAAAGGTCGGACTACAGCTGAATCTTGCGAAGACAATGTTTATGAGAAACAGCCTTGTTCCTGACGCTCCATTTGCTCTCAACGGAATGACCATCTCCAAATGCAACAGCTATGTGTACCTAGGTCGAGAAGTCAACATGACAAATGACCTGGCACCTGAGCTGTGCAGGAGGAAGAGAGCGGCTTGGAACACCTTCAAGAGCATCGAAGAAACAGCTAAGAGGACGAAGAACCTCCGGCTCCGGGCACATCTCTTTGATTCCACTGTTCTTCCTGCATTAACATATGCCTCAGAGACCTGGGCCCTACGCAAACAGGATGAGAACGCTATTCGGGTCTTCCAAAGAGGAACTGAAAGAGCTATGCTTGGAATATCACATTTCACTCAAATGAGAGAAAGAATCCGGAGTTCCGACCTCCATCGACGATCAAGAATCAGGGACACTGTCTCGTTTGCCAAGGTGTCAAAAATCAGATGGGCTGGTCATGTAATGAGATTTAGAGACGACCGCTGGACTAGAGCCATTACCGACTGGATTCCACGGGACGTCAAAAGACTGCGTGGCCGCCCACCTACCAGATGGTCAGACTTCTTCATCAAGATCATGAACGATCAGTTTGAGGCTCTTCGTGTTCCTAGAACGAACAGATGCCATTGGGCTACACTAGCATGCGACAGGGATGAATGGAGACATTACTGGCGCCCGCTCGAGAAAATCAACGATTAACGGGAAGTCAAGTGATCAAGTGATCTCTAGACACACACACACACACACACACACACACACACACACACACACACACACACTGAGAAATGTCCAAAAACATATGATCCAGTATCTTCCAATTACTATAAACCAGGTAATAAAGATTCTCACAATGTTCCTTACTAAAAAAATGCAAGTCATTGGAGCTGAGAAGAAAGCAGTGGACATGGCACTTGCCTTGCACACAACCAACCAAAGCCAAAGTTTGGTCCCTGGCAACCATACAGTCAGTCCCTGAGCAGTGCCAGAAATGATCCTTGAGTATAGAGCCAGGAGTAAGGTCTGAGTATCACCGGGTATGACCCCCCAAAAGCAATTACAAGACCGGGAGGTAGTACAATGGCTAGGGTGTGTGCCTGACAAGGTTTGGTTCCTGGTGCAACATAATCCTCAGAGCATCACCACAGGCAACCTGGAGGCCTCCATCCCTGCCGGGGTGGCTTGGGTAACCCCATCCTTGCCTCAGTGGCCTGGAAACCCCCGTCCATATTGGGGTGGCCTGGGTACCCCCATCCCTACTGGAATGGCCCAGGTACCCCCGTCCCTGCGGAGTGGCTTGGGTTCTCCCAACACTGCAGGCTGAAGCAGCATCGATTGTCTGGTGGTCAGACTCACCACTGGGGCCTCTGAGCTCCAGTTGGGAACCCTCCAACCCCCACTCCACACACACACAAAATCCCAGCTACAAACTAACAGATAAAATGTATTTCCGAAAGTATTAATTAACCTCATTAATTAACAGGCAGGGAATTAGAAAACAGGAAATACTCCAAGATAGATTTCCTCTGAGTATAAAAGATAATCAAAGTTAGGCTTTTCAAAATTAAAATGTTGGATTATGTAGTCAGGAAACTATTAGATATTTTAAGAATTCTTCACACGAAGTTTTACTCTCCAGAGAGAGCACTTGAAAAGAAATCTCGGACACAGGCACTTTTCTTCGCGAGGAAAGTGAAGGAGCCAGGAGCTGCGTGAAGAACTGGGGGTTCGCTCTGCACCTGAGGGCCCAGGTGGGCCCAAGCACTGCCAGGGGTGACCCAGCACCACCCCGGGAGGCGCTCCTGAGCACCACCAGGTGTGGTTCAAAAGGAAGAACCAAAAGCTAAAGAGAAAATTTGCTTTAATATTTTTGCTTTGTTTGGGGGACACACCTGGTGGTGCTCTGGGCTGACTCGTGGCTCCGTGCTTCAGGAATCCCTCCTGGTGGGGCTCCGCAGACCATATGGGATGCGGGGGACAAAACCTGAGTCAGCCACATGGAAGGCAAGCGCCCTACCCGCTCTACTATTGCTTCAGCCTCAGAGTAAACTGGTTTGAATTAACCAGCTACATCCTAAGTAAACACATTTCCAGATTGCTAAAGGCAGTTCAGACTTTATTTACACGTGTGCTTCTATGTGTAAATGTACATGCACATATTTCTGAGAAGTAATGACATCTGAGTGGGCACACTTACTTGTTCATTAGCTTCAACGAACAGTACTTCTGCCTCATCCAAAATGAGGTGACAGAGTCTAAGAAACAACAAGCTTTGGTATTTGAGCAATCTCAGGAGGCTATGTGGTGTCGTGACAATCACATCACCTATATTTTCAAAGAAAAAACAACGGGCAGTTAAGGTTTCTATGATTTTTTTTTTTGCCATTTTCCTTCAGTAATAACCCACAGTTTCTACAGAAACAAATACAAACAAAAAAAAGCTGTTTTTTGCTAGGGTGGGTGAGACAAGACCTTTGCCTGTCACTATGTGTCTCCTGTCACTGTCTCCTGTCAATCACTGTGTCTCTGGCTACTGTGAGTCTCCTGTCACTGTTTCTCCTATAGTCATTGTGTCTCCTATCACTGTCTCCTCTGTCACCATGTCTTCTGTCACCATGTCTCCTGTCACAGTGTCATCTGTCACTGTGTCTCCTCTGTCACCATGTCTCCTGTCAGAGTCCCCTGTCACTGTGTCTCTTGTCACCATGTCTGTCACTGTGTCTCTATCATCACTGGGTCTCCTGTCACCATGTGTCTGTCACCTGTCACTGTGTTTCCTATAGTCATTGTGTCTCTTGCCACCATGTCTGTCACTGTGTCACCTGTCATTGCATCTCCTGTCACCGTGTCTCTCCTGTCACCATGTGCCAGCTATCACTGTGTGTCCTCTTCATTGTCTGCCTCCCTAAGCTCCAGGTTTTTCTCTTCAGAGTGATGGTAAAGGCTGATCCGTATATCAAAACACGTGGTTTCCTCAGCAGCTCCGACCTACCCCATGCCCACCCCCAAGGACCTGACAGGGAAGGTCTGATCATCAGCTGCCCATGTCCTCAATGATTTCCTGGCCTGCCTGGCAGGTCTACTGTGTTCTCCAGGGAAAACAAAACAGCTTGGAAAGGATGCTTACACCCTCTTGGAAGCTTCATGTTCTTGGCTTCATCTTTGTGGAGTCCAATTGTCAGTAGCATGGGGTGAAGAGGCTTGGACGACAGGTTATAGTCCCCCAGCAACTCAAAAATGAACTGGGCCTTCTTCCAGCCAGGGCACACGATGACGGCCAGAGGCTGCAAAGACAGATATGTGCATGTAATGCTGGACAAAGCTAGGGGCAAGCAGAGTGAGCTCCCTGCACCATCTGAGCACATGGTGGGCTCTGCGATCACTGTACGGGTCAGAAAAGTTAGATGGGTGTCTCTATACGGACTGAGCCACATCGAACCACGACTCTGCTGCGCCTTACTCTAAGCCTTCACAACAGTCCAAAGCCACGACTTCTTTGGGGCTGGAGCAATATCACAGCAGGTAGGGCATGCAACCAACCCGGGTTCGATTCCCAGCAACCCATATGGTCCCCTGAGCACCGCCAGGAGTAATTCCTGAGTGCATGAGCCAGGAATAACCCCTGTGCATCGCCAGGTGTGACCCAAAAAGAAAAAAAAAGCTACGACTTCACTTCACAGGTGAAGGGCCCGAGACTCAGAGAGGGGAAGCCAGCTGCCCCCAGCCGGAGGATCTGTACCAGGCCACCTGGCTCCAGGGCTTCTGCTCTGCGCAGAAGTGGTAGTAAACACCTGGGGAAAGGGGCATGACCAGTCTCCTCAGGAGGCTGCTTCCAAAAGCCCCCTGCACCTGTGCCAATCGACTCCACAGGGCACCGCTGCAGGTGCCCGGGTCACCCAACACCTTCCCATCACAGGTGGCCACAATCTGAAAGCAAAGATGAGTCTCCTCTTTCTTTCCCTTGGGTCTCCTGAGCTCCTTCCAGGCATCAGGCCCCAGGACAGGCCAACTATGGCGATTCTGGAAGACGATGAAAGAGCAGGGCAGGCAGGGGGCACGGCTGGGCCTCAGGGACCAGTGGTCAACTAGAGGAGAAAGGTGAGTACCGATTTAGGGCTGGGGGATGCAGCTAGATGCCAGAGTACCTGCCTGGCCTGTGTGAGGCCCTGGGCTTGATCCCCAGAACCAATGGGGGTGGAGGGAAGAAACGTGTCCACTTCATTTTATAGATCAATACAGAACAGTTGATGAAGATTTCCACAGAGAAAGCATTAAACTACCTCATCTCATCTACTTCTAGTTAGAAAAATAAAAGCGTGTCTTTTCAAAAGGAGTCGCTACCCTTCACCTTGGGACGGTAAGAGCACCGTCGGCAGTGTATCCTGTGCGCAGAGTTGAGCCCACACGCGTCGCCTCGTGCAACCAAGCAGCTGTCAGCATCCACCTCGCTCCATCCCCTCACCTTCCTCAGTGGTTTTCCCATGATTTCTGGGAAAACCAGGGAGAAAATTAAGCGGGATTCTCAAATAATACAGTAGGTTGCTGTGAAATGATTTCTAGAATATGGGACAAGATGGCCTAACACCTAAATTCTGAGAATCCTACATTTACCAACTGTCAGCTGTGAACATTGACAATAACAACCTTTTGTAAGTTTGGTTTTCTCATGGATAATAGTATGACTATTTCAAAGAATTGCTGTGACAATTAGATGTGTTATTCTAACAGTGAAAAAATTTCATCAACGACACATCACTGAAAGCAAACTCTCCTATCTCAGCCAACGGCCCAGCAGGAAGGCCCTATGAGACTGTGCGAGCAATGGCAGGAGGGAGAGAGTCGTCACCCCGGCCAGGGACCAGCTGAGGAACATAAACCAAGCTTACTCAAAGTTAGTAAGTTGGCCTACTGTGATATAGTTCACTCATACCACTGTAAACAAAACTGTCTTCAACTTACTCCGTTTCTACTCGGTAGTGACTTGTAGCAGCCCCCTGTTTGCAAAATTGTGAGCAGTGGCAGGAGGTACAACAATGGGTCGTTTCCACAGTGGGAGATGACCACCACATCACAGCCCCGCGCGATGGGAGGCCACGCGTAAGACGCAGTGTGGCTCGGTCCTGGAAACTTGTTCCTTTGAAGAGCCTATAAGACATCAAAATAAACGGAAGAATGCAGTAAGTACCAGAAACCAGCCCACACTTCGTTTCCGCAGTCACTTGGCTCTTGACAATCTCTGAAATAGCTCCCTCTGGACCTTCCCAATACCAAGCTTGCTCAACGCTTCCGAATCCAAACTCCGGGCACAAGATGGGTTCTTCTGGGCTCCACCGAATAATGGACTATAGGAGAGCAGGTGCACTGACCTTCCCGGGCTCCAAGTTCACTCAGAAGAATTTTTAAAGCATGACTTTGCTGGCTGTATTTCCTAGGTAACATTCCCTCCCCTCTACCAGCTGGTGCAACCCAGTTTCCCGAAGGCTGCCCTCATCAGCATCGTTAACGCCAGAACCTCCTCATCCAGGCCCTGACTCCCAGCCGGGCTTGGGGTTCGTTACTCGGCCCCAGCAAACAGCTGCCCTCCTGCACCATCACCCTTTGGTACACAGCTCAGGCTGCCTTCTTTCCTGGGTTATATTGCTTTGGTGGAGCTACTTAAAATAAGGGCACAGAAGGTAAGGTTTGAGACTTGCATGTTTGAAATCTTTTCATCCGACCCTGGCACTTCCTAGTTTCCATGGGTCTCAAGGCCTCACACTCCTCAGGACTTTAGTCAGAACTCCTCTGGCTACTTCCGTCAGAAGCCTGAAGTGACTTTAACTCCCAGTCCTGTGCCTGGGACTCTTCTTCATGAAAACCTTCATAACCTGAGCCTCTCCAATGTGGGAAATTTAATTAGAAAAACACTGTCCACCAATTTTCTCCTGGATTTTGCTGAGCCTGTGATAAGTAGAATCTCTTCACTTTTAGTCAGATATCCATCAGGTCCAGAACTTGTTCCCATGTTACTTCAGTCAGAATTTTTGTTCATTCTTTGTTCATTCTTTCTAGAAATCCTATTTTTTTATAGTTTTAAAATATTAAATCTGGGGCTGGAGCGATAGCACAGCAGGTAGGGCGTTTGCCTTGCACGCAGCCAACCTGGGTTTGATCCCCGACATCCCATATGGTCCCCTGAGCACCGCCAGGAGTGATTCCTGAGTGCAGAGCCAGGAATAACCCCTGAGCATCGCTTGGTGTGACCCAAAAAGCAAATAAATTAAATCAGCCCTCTAATTCTCTTATCCCACACCCAATTTTCATATCTTTGCCTTTTTCTTCAACTTTCTGATCATTTCTATCTTCTCTCTCAAGCCTACTATTGGTTTTTAGTTCCACATTAGAATTTCCAAGCCTCTGTTTCTCCCAACACCCTATTATTGTTAGATACACGCAATAATGAACCATGATCTCTTGTTTCTGAGGATATTGATTTATGCCATTTTCTCCTATGCCTACAATATTTTCCTCAGAGTTGTTTTTGTTTGTTTGTTTTGGGGCAACACAGAGTGGTGCTCAGGGCTTACTACTGGCTATGCTCTCAGGCATCACTCCTGGCAGGGATCGGGGAAGAGGCTGGGCACATGCAAGGCAAGTGCCCTGCTTGCTGTACTATCTAGAGGGCCCCTCTTCAGAACCAAGAATCCATTCTGTTTTTGTGAAGGGGAGGGCTTCCTTCGAAAGTCTAAGCATCCTTAGACTTTCATATTAAAGGAGGCAGCAAAAGCCAACCCAACTCATCACCACATGCATGGAGCACATTGCTGTAGGTATGGACAGCAAACAGGCATTTTCACTGGGATAATCCCCCAAATCTCCTGAAGGTCATTTTCTAGAGTCAGTCAATCAAAACAAACAAGAGTAGTGGGGGTTGGGTGGGAGAGTCCCTCCAATCTCTCTCCTGAGAAACTTGCTGTGGACGTCCAGGAAACAGGTTAAGTGCTTCACTCATACCCTACCTCTATTAGCCCCGCCACCCTCTGCTGCTGTGTTTCATCTTTCAAAAGCCTATGAAAAGCCCTTGTCCTGTAGTAAATTCTCTCTCATTCTATTCATCCTTGTCATCTTATCTCTTTAAAAAATTATCAAACTTTTTTTTGGTATTGGGATGGAAGCAGATATACAGGTCTGACCCATTTACTCAGTGATCCTATGGGTCCATAAAGTGATTAAAGAACGCTAAGATGGGGCCCAGGAGAGGAAGTTATGCAAGCAGGAGGCCTAGCTTTGATCCCCAGCACCCATTGTCCGAGCATTGCCAGGAGCAATCCATGAGCACAAAGCTGGGGGTGGCCCCAAACAAAAACCAAAATAGGAAGGGTGCTAATAAGTATATTCAAATTATCCTGACAATTTTTTTTCTCAGCCTCTTTCTAGAGGCACATCTGGGAAGTTCCTTGAGAAAAGCACTTAAATGTATAATGGCTCACACACAAAATAATTCACTTAAAACTTAACCTGGACTTAAGAATAAATGAGAAATAACAAACACTTAAAAAAGAGTATTTGCTTTTTGAGACTTTTTGGTTATTTTTGGGCCACAGCCTGAGATGCTCAGGGGTTACTCCTGGCTCTGCAACTCAGGAATTACACCTGGCGTACTTGGAGGACCATATGGGATGCTGGGATAGAACCGAGTCAGCTGTGTGCAAAGTAAACACCCTAGCAGCCCTTTTGTTTCAGGCTTATTGTTCCAGCCCTTGAAAAAGTCCTTTTTTTTTTTTTCTTTTTGGGTCATACCCTGCGATGCACAGAGATAACTCCTGGCTCTGCACTCAGGAATTATCCCTGGCGGTTCTCAGGGGACCATATGGGATGCTGGGAATTGAACGTGGGTCACCACGTGCAAGGCAAACGCCCTACGCGCTGTGCTATTGCTGCAGCCCCTGACAGAGTACTTTTAAAGCAAAGAAAGTAATTATGATATAAGTCCAACGTCCTTCATTAGGAAGGTGATCCCTCACTCCCAGGGCGCTGGCCTCACCTTTTTCAGGTCCGTGGAAAGTGGTGCCACATCCATAGACAAGCACGGTTCCACTTTGTTACGGAGTACTGCAAAGGGCTGCCAGGTGCCTGACTTCAGTTTCTGTAACTAAGAGAAAACAACACTGGACCCCTCTGCCCAGAGGCATGGCATGTGTGGTAGCAACCACTTTACCGAGATAAAAAAAAAAAAACGCAAGGGTTTGTGAAATGAAAAGGTAGGCACTGCCCCTAGTACTGCCGGGAAGGAACTCGGGAGGAAACTCAAGCTGCCTCGTGTCTTGCACACACGCTTGTCAAAACCACCAAAACACCAACAGTAAAGGAAGGTCATCTATGACCTTAACTGTAAAAGAGTAATTTCTGCAAAGCAATGACTCACTAGAAAATTCTTCCATTTTTCTTAGATTTTCTTCCATTTAAAAAAATTTATTAAGGGGGGAAAATCAGTCAATAGACAAAAACGAGAATAAAGCAAAAGCACCTTTGCAGAGAAGAGGTGGGGGGAGAGGAAAAGGGAGCGGGGAGGGGAGCAAAGTAGGGAGAGGGGGGCAGAGAGAGAATGATTTTGCGGTCAGGGGCCCACACCAGGACCCTTCGTGTCTGGCTTGGCAGTCAGGGATAAGGGATTCCTCTTCTAATGCCAAATATGGAACAAGGAAGGAGAGGGATTTAACAGGTGATCGATACTTAGTTTGAATTTTTTCTAGGGCTGTAAATACCTGCTTCAAATCAGAGATTCCATCAGCTCTCAGCGGATCTGGATTTAAAAACTGCAATAATCTGTAAAACAGGTAAAAGGACAATGCAAAGAAGAAAGCGTGGGAAGCCTGCTAAGTGAGCTATGACTTTTCTTTCTTGGAGAGGTAAGATAACTGCACTCCTGCAGGGCTTAGCTGGAAAATTACAGTGCGTTCTTCTCTGTGTGTCCGTGGCAGTCCAAGAGCCACGGCACACATGGACAGGCTGTGTCACGGGGTGGGGACAGAACACAGTGCCAGGGTCACATGCTTGGGACAAGTCGAAAGACTGCACCATCACCCAGTGGCCCGCTACTTCTAAGAATCCCACCGCTTCCCTTTCCTCTACTGCCGGGTCTTCAACCAGCAGGTTCCCTCGCACCTACAGTCTTATCAGAGGGTCCCAGGTACAGGACAGTTAGCCGAGGAGGAGACAATCTAATTTTAAAAAGAAAAAAAAAAGTAATAGACTACACTGCAGAGGTAAGTTATCACGCCACAATAAAGATGAATAAAAATGAGCAATGAGAACAAAACCAGGTATTTCGTTCCAGGAAAAGAGAGACTTCAAGTGAGACATCCAGGGTGTCCTGGGAGGGGATGACTGCGTGGCCGCATAAAGGTCACCCGCAGATCTGTGAGCACGAGCTCTGCGGCAGTCTTCTAAGACCCAGCCCTGGGGTGGCCTACGGAGCCTCTTCCGGGTCGGGGGACATTAACGGCAAGCTGGCAGCCCAGCACCTGTCCTCCTCCAAGGCCAGTTGGTGGCACAGTGTGGCCTGTCTCCTCAACTATCCTGAATTCTTTATCACTCTGATGGCTTCAGAGCCATCTGGAACCCATGTCTTGGAATGCAGGAGTGTTTTTAGACTGGTATGGTAAGAAGCCACAGAAACTGAGAGAGAAAAGTTTTCCGGATTAAACAAGAGTACAATAATATCATTACTCCATTATTAAATCACACAGATGCTTTGTCAATCTGACAAGACATCTCTCCCCAACCCCCCCGCAAAAAACCCTAAAGTACCATACCGTACATAATAAGTACCTCCATCTGGGCTGAGAGAAAACAGCAATATAAACAAAATTAATAGTCCTAAAGATCAACTGGATCTAATTTATTTCATAAAATTGTTCACTTGGACAAGAAAATCAGAAATCAAAAACAGTAAAGACTGTTTAGTCTGGAATAAAAGATTTAGCCAAAAATCCATTCTAGAAAATGCTGAGAAAAAAATAACATGGAAGTCTACAGGAGAGACTGCGTGCATGACCTGTTAGTGAGACCACAGCTCTGGAGTTAGTGGGACAATCACACACAAACATTTCCTGTTACAATTTTATGATGTTCATTTTGATAAAAATTCAGGCCAAGAAACAAACCCTACTTCACACAGCCATTCTTCTCATCATATTCTTTCTTCTCGGCCAATCTGAAGGATTTCTCGTTTGGCTTCTGACACAAAGTACTAGGAAACACAAAAATCAATGTCTTAAAACATTAAACCTTTTTTTTTTTTAATCTGAATTAGGAATCCTGTAGACTGGAGCACCTCTGACATTCATTTATTATCTTTCAAACTTCAGGGTAACTCATTTCAATTCTGTGTGTTATTCTTTACTGTTTTGTGAAATATGGAACTTGGGAAAAATTGGATTATACCTTGAGACAAGCAAGAAAGGATAAAATCCTTGCCTCTGTGTAATGTACAAGAAGTGCAAGAAGGAAAAGATAAGGCAATAAATATAACACAAAATTAAATTTCGTTGTACGTTAAAAGATGATGATTATTGTCTGAGTTTACTCAGTCTGCACACTGAGTAGTTTAAACAATAGAAGCATGAGTAAACATCCAGGTTCATTACTTCTCAAGTCTTTTTATTTATTTTTTTTTTATTAGTGAAACACCATGAGGTACAGTTGTAGATTTACAATTTTTTGTGCTTGGGTTTCGATTATACAATGATCAGATACCCATCCCTCCACCAGTGCCCATTTTCCACCACCATGGATAATATCCCCCCCTCCTACCCTGCCTCTGTGGCAGGGCATTCCCTTTTGTTCTCTCTCTCCTTTTGGGTGTTGTGGTCTGCAAAAGAGGCTTTGAGTGGCAAACATGTTCAGTCCATAGTCTAATTTCGACATGCATCTCCCCTCCTGGGAGGATCCTCCAAACACCCTTTATTTGGTGCTCCCTTCTCTATCTGAGCTGCCCTTTCCTCTAGAATGCCCGGCTGGCCTCTAAGTTATGGAGTAATCATCCTGGTGCTGATCTCAGTTATTCTTGGGTATTAATCTCATATTTTGTTACTTTATATCCCCCAGATGAATGCAATCTTTCTATGTCTATCCCTCTCTTTCTGACTCATTTGGCTTAGCATGATACTTTCCATGTTGTACCACTTGTATGTAAATTTCATGACTTCATCTTTTCTAACAGCTACATAGTACTCCATTGTGTAGATGTACCAAAGTTTCTTTAACCAGTCATCTATTCTTGGGCATTCAGGTTTCTTCCAGTTTCTGGCTATTGTAAAGAGTGCTGCAATGGACAAACAAGTGCAGATGTCACTTCGACTATACCTTTTTGCCTCTCTGGGATATATTCCCAGGAGTGGTATTGCTGGGTCAAATGGGAGCTCAATTTCTAATTTTTTGAGAATCGTCCATACTGTTTTCCAGAAGGGCTGAACCAGTGGACATTCCCACCAACAGTGAAGGAGTGTCCCTTTCTCGCCACATACGCGCCAGCATCAGTTGCTTTTGTTCTTTTGAATGTGGGCCAGTCTCTGAGGTGTGAGATGGTAACTCATTGTGGTTTTGATCTGCATCTCCCTGATGATTAATGATGTAGAGCATTTTCTCATGTGCTTTTTTGCCATTTGGATTTCTTCTTTGAGAAAGTTTCTGTTCATTTCATTGCCCCATTTTTGGATGGGGTTGGATGTTTTCTTCTTGTGGAGTTTAACCAGTATTTTGTATATCCTGGATATCAACCCCTTGTCAGATGTGTATTCGGCGAATATCCTTTCCCATTCTGTAGACTGTCTTTGTATTTTGGTCACTGTTTCTTTGGAGGTGCAGAAGCTTTGTAGTTTAAGATAGTCCCATTTATCTATCTCTGTTTTCACTTGCTCGGCCAGTGGCGTGGCATCTTTGAAGATACCATTAGCTTCAATGTCATGGAGGGTTTTGCCAACTTTGTCTTCAATGTACCTTATGGTTTCTGGTCTGATGTTGAGGTCTTTAATCCATTTTGATCTTACTTTTGTACATGGTGTTAGGCAGAGTTCTGAGCCCATTTTTTTGCATGTAGCCGTCCAGTTCTGCCAGCACACTTTGTTAAAGAGGCTTTCCTTACTCCATTTCACATTACTTGCACCTTTATCAAAGATTAGATGATCATATGATTGAGGGGAGATGTCAGTGTATTCAACCCTATTCCACTGGTCTGCAGTTCTGCCTTTGTTCCAGTACCATGCTGTTTTGATTATTATTGCTTTGTAGTACAGTTTGAAGTTAGGGAGGTTGATTCCTCCCATTTTCTTTTTTCCCAAGAAGTGCTTTAGCTATTCGTGGGGGCTTATTGTTCCATATAAATTTCAGGAGTAAAACATTAAACCCTTTTAACCAAATGCAACAGCGTCTTTATTTTCTGAGAGAACATAAGCAGCACCACTGAGGAATAAGGTGGCCTGCTAGGTATGGAGCTCATCTGGACAGTTGTGCTGGTGAAGATGTCCTTAGCCTCCCTCCCCTAATTATTTCAACCAGAACCCCCAGGACAAAGTGACAAAATAAAAAAGGGCGAGGGGGACGGTGGTGGAGAAGTCAACTGTCAACTAGTGAGAAGCAAGCAGGGGTACAGGAAAGGGGATTTCCTGGGTCTGACTGCCCCTCCTCTGGGGGTCAGCTGAGACGTGAACTATGCAGGAGATCACTGTATCACTGTCATCCCATTGATCGCCAAGTTACTCGAGCAGGTGCCAATAACATCTCTATTCCTTCCAGTCCTGAGATTTTAGCAGCCTCTTCTTACTCATCTTTTCCCAATGATTGGAGGCTCTTTCAGGGTCAGAAAAATGAGACCTATTGTCTTCAATGTATTTGGCATATCAAATACGCCATGGGGAGCTGGCCAGGCTCTGCCTGCTGGACTATCACTCCAGCCCCAGATGCCAGTTTTTCTACCCTGAGAGGAACACGCCAATGTGTGAGCCAGAGAGCACGTCGGAAGCATCGTGAGCAGGAAGCACAACTGATTCTCTCTTTTGCTTTTTCCTTCCCCAAGCCAGGTGTGACGCTTGAGCTGACCACTGCACACTGGACAGCAGTGCTGTCACCTCAGGTCTGGAGGGAAACCTCTCCTTTCCTCCACAGGAAGCCTGTGGTCTCAAGACCATGGGCAAGTCTTGTGTTTCTTTCTCATTTCTCCTGGGGACAGCTGCTTTGTGATGTGTTCACAAGACGTGCCAATCACACAGACGTGCACGACTGTCTCTTTAAGAGAAGCCATGAGGCATGTAAACAGAAAATGATGTGAGGAAAGTTCTGGAAAAAAGAAAAGAGTGCAACAGAGGCGAGGGAGGGAGGTGCACTATTTCCATAGATGACCCAACCCAAGTCCCAGTTTCACCCCAAGCTGACCTTACTCAGGACAGGCTCGGAGTATCTGGCCAAACTGAACTAAGCTCAGGGCCACAGAAAACGAGACAGAACTTGAGATATAAGTATAATGGAGCTGGCTTCCTCTTGCTAAAATAATTGATGCTCCACGGTCCTCCCGTTGTTCATCGATTTGCTCGAGTGGGCCCAGTAACATCTCCATTGGAGACTTGGATGTTACTGTGTTTGGCATATCGAATACATCACGGGTGGCTTGCCAGGCTCTGCCGTGCGGGCAAGATACTCTCGGTAGCTTGCCGGGCTCTCTGAGAGGGGCGGAGGAATCGAACTCGGGTCGGCCATGTTGGCAGCCTGCTTGGTGCATTTGGAGCGGTGACGGGAGCAGCCCTTTGGACTGGTGCCTCGTTGGGGGAAGGGGAGGAAATAGACGGAACTGAGCCAGGGCTTCTGTCTATGTGACGCTGGCCCATCCTCCATCCTTCCTGCATCTGTCTACTCACCATCCGCTCCTTGAAGCCACCCTTGCACCATCTAACCATCTAACTGTGTTCATTCTCACACTTAACCATCCAGCCAGCCCCATTCATCCCCCATTGTTGTATATTTACTCTCACACTTACCCATCTGTCCACTCTCTATCTACCCACTGTCTATCTACCGCGCATCCACTCGCATCCTTACCATCCATCCAGCCTCCATCCAGCCTCCAACTAGTATATATTTACTCTCACACTTACCCTCCGGGCTGGAGCGATAACACAGCGGTAGGGCGTTTGCCTTGCACACAGCCAACATGGCCGACCCGAGTTCGATTCCTCCGCCCCTCTGGGAGAGCCCGGCAAGCTACCGAGAGTATCTCGCCCGCACGGCAAAGCCTGGCAAGCTCCCGGTGACATATTCGATATGCCAAACACAGTAACAACAAAGTCTCCAATGGAGACGTTACTGGGCCTGCTCGAGCAAATCGATGAACAATGGGAGGACAGTGACAGCTAAAATAATTAGACATTAACAAATTATCAACATCCCCCAGAGGATTTCAACGGACATCAGAGTCGTTTCACGCCCGACTATTCAAAATACGCCCACATTACTGCACATACAAAGTACTGGGAAAATCAGATATTGCCATGAGAAAGCAAGATCAGAGGCTGCTGGGCCAGAAAGTGAGGATGACTCAACACTTTAGTTTGACTTTTTATGTGTGTGTGTGGTGGGGGAAGGGGCTGAAAATTGTCTTTATTTTCAGAGCCTGTGGCAGCGCAGTATCAATAATAACCTCAGACAATCTGACGGCAATCTTCCCTCCCACCTCTGGCACTACAAACACCAGGATGCCCACCAACGAGATCTGAGACCGGAAGCCCTCCCTTTTGATGTGGGGAGCCTTCTCATGCCCTCCTATTCCTACTCCACATGAACCTTTGCCAACCAGACTGCCTTACAGTCAATGCAATTCAAACCCAGAACCCAGCAGTCAGTCGTGGCCATTGTCACTGATTCACTCCCCACCCCCGGAGTGGGAAAAGCTGAGAGTGACTCATGTTCAGGGCAAACTTGGCTACCCCCCAGAGGAGCAAAGATGTTGAGGCGGCCGGTACCTATGAGTGAGGGTGAGCGAGAAACAAGGAGGCCCCTCTAAAATTCGTCAAGTCAGCTCCAAGCTCCACACCTTACACCTACATGGCATACTGCCAAAGCCAGAGCCCTGAGCATCCGCAGACTGCATCTTTCCTGTCCCAGGTATGACCCTACCGTAACACACACCCAACATGTGTGGGTGTCCCGTCGATTTACCCTGACTCCGGAGTGCGTACCTGGGGGCTGGTATATCGGGCTCAGCATATATAGTTATGCCTCTCTTTGTGGGCCAGTACACTGAAGATTCAACACACTGCAAAAAAAAATCTGTTTTTAGAAAGAATATATACACTAGAAGATACATACCCTTAAGAAGCCAAACTCCTGCGGCTCTCCTGATGAATAACCACCCCAGACACTTCCCAGGCTGTGCAGACGTGGACAGTAAGGAAGTAGAACGTGGGTGAAACTACCAGAGCCACTCAGTCCACTGGCCCCTGGTGCTTGGAAGCTGTGCTGAAAACGCTCCGAGGACACCGGAGAAAGAATTGAGCCGGAACCTCTGGAGGGTCCAAAGGGCTATGCTATTAAAATGAGAATCGGCCACAGTTCTGTGGAGAGGCCACAGGGCTGAGAGTGAGGGCTCCAGGGGCTGGAACTGACTGTTTTTGGGAAAACTGAGCAAACATAAAAACCTGCATTTGGCCCAATATAATATAGTCAAAGTTTGTTTTTGTTTTTTTTTAATTTTTGGAGGTTTTTGGGGGGTGGGTGGGCAGTTCATACCTATTGAATATTAACCCTAAGTGCTCTAGGCTTCATCAGTGAACTTCCCCTGTCCTCCCTCCAGAGAAGCTTACAGTGCTCTTACGAGCACCTCTAATCCCCCGATCCTCTGCTGGAGAAGCCTTGGGTGCAGCTCTCAGCCACCAAATGCACATGTTGTGCACCTACATCTTGAACTCACACATACCCAGTGGTGATAAGGGCTAACTCCTGACTGCACTCAGGGACCACTTCTGCCGCGTATTGAACCTGGGTGAGCTCTGAACAAGGCAAATGCCCTCCCTGCTGGACTATCGCTCCGACCCCGACAGCCAAAGATTTCTAATAGCAAACATATTTTTGGTTTTCCCAGAAAATCTTAAGGAACTTCAAATATCAATTTCATATTTACAGAATGTTTAAAAATACAACCTTGTTTACATCTTTCAGGGAGAGGCACTGTTCTTCCTTTTCAGATTTTGTCTTCGACAGTGCTATTAGCAAAAACAGAACAGAAAAGAACATAAAGAGACAGGCACTGGCATGAGGCACACACACAATTATTATGAAGTAGGGCTCAATACTGAATCTCATTTGAGAGAATTTTAAATTTTTATCTAAGTCTTACTATAGGAAATGCTTCCAAAATTCTCTTGCTGGCTTATTAACAATTAAAAAGAATCCACTTGGGCCAGAGCAATATGGTATAGTGGGTACAATCCCTGGATCCACGGTCTCGAGCCCCACCAGTAGTGATTCCTGAGTGCAGAGCCCGGAGAAAGCCCTGTACACCATTGGGTGGCCTAACCCTAAATTTGTTAGAATGTGTTTTCCCCCATTTGAAAGGTTTTTTTCCCCAAAATGTCACAAGATGTCAACCAACACTGGTCTCCTTCACAGTGACTTGACTACTTCTTGAACTGACCAGAGGGACCGTCCTTGTGCTTCTTTCCCATGACACGGGTAGACTTGTCACAAGACCAACGACTTCAAGTGTGAGATGCCAACACGAGTTGTACCTATTCCTGCTCTTCGAATGCTCCTTCCCAAAGCGGCCACTGTGCTGTGAAGAAGCCCAAATGCTCCTATGGTTGAGGCACGTGCCAACTGAAGAGGTGGCCACATGACGCCAGACACCACAGAACAGAAACAAACCACACTCCTGCTCTGTCCATTCTGAGCACAGGACCCAAGGATGTGAGGAAGTGCTTGTTTCACAGTAATATGTCGGCAGGCGGGGAAGGGGCGCTTTCTACTACCAATAACTGACCAATAACCACTCAGTCTCAGCAACTTTTCAGGAGCACAACTGCATCTCTTGCTTCCTAATGGCATGATAGACACGAGAGGATTTTGGAAATCACAGGGCTAGAGCCCTGTGGATATAATACAGTGGGTCGGGTTCGTCCCATGCATTCAGTCCCTGGCATCCCATATGGACTTCCAATTCCCGCCAGGAGTAATCCTGGAACTTAAAACGAAGAGTATGTCCTCCTGAGCACTGCCTTGTGTGGCCAAAAAACCCAAAACATCAAAACACAGCAGAAAGAAGGTATTTGTAAAGCAGGTAGAAACAGAATAATAACCAGGAGGTAACAAAATGATAAGGTAGACTCTTAAATCCTTTTTTTCATTTTTTTCCATTTTACTTAAACACTGTGGCTTACAAAGTTGTTCATGATGAATTTGTCACAGGCATTCAATATTCCAACTGTAATCCCACCACCACTGTGACCTTTGCTCTACCACTATCCCCATTTTTCCAGGCAGCCCTCAAGCCTGCCCCTGTGGCAGGCCCAAAATTACTTTATATTGCTCCCTACCAATAACTGTCTAATGGAATTATCAAAAAAATGCTCCAGTAAAAGAAAATCTGTGAAAAATTGTGATATCATACCAGGAGCCATTAAGTCCTTGCCTTAGGTTTTACTAAACTGTTGTGGCTAGTTGTACTTTCTGTGTTACTGTTTTTGCTAAGTGGCTTCTGTATTACATTCCCACCTACTCTGGTGTGCACCTACTGGGATGATAATATTGTATAGCTGGGAGATATTACATGGCTGCAAATGTGGCTGCCCACTCCAGAAAATCCAGACTGTTTAACTAGGCAGTGAGCTGACATGGCAGCATTGACGGAGCATGGGTGTGGCTGCCAGGGCTTTGGGTGGGGGGAGGTCATCCACCCCGACTCAGAGAAGGCCCAGAGTTCTCTGCCAAAAAATCCTTGTGTACCTGAAATTTTTGACAGTTTAGCATCTCTACGGAGCTCAGTCATGAGGCAATGGAGTTCAGCTATAGACATGGTAGCAGCTATTGGGGGGTGAGTGTGGCTGCCGGGGCTTTTGCAGGTCAAGCACTTGGCCTGCCTCACTGAAGGCTGCCCCAGAGTTCTCAGCTAGGGACCAGTGTATCTGAGAAACTTGCAGCTAGTTGATCTCTCTTGAGATTTCATCATGAGCCTCTGAAGCTGGGTGATAGAGGAGATTACATGGTAGCAGTGGTGGAATGTCCATATTTTTATCTAGTTCTAAAACGGACATTTCAAAAGCTGTTTAGTGATGGAGCCAGAGTTACAGTACAGTAGGTAAGGCTCTTGCCTTACATGTGGCCAACCCGGGGCTCTGTCCCCAGGATCAGATGGTCCCCTGAGTACACCAGAAGTGACTCCCGAGTGCAGTCAGGAGTAACCCCTGAGCATCACTAGGTATGGTCTAAAAACTAATAAATAAATAAAACAAAAGTTGTTTAGTGAGTAATACAATATAGATAAGTAAAACAGGCTAAAAAATTCCTTGGGAAAAGACTCTAAGCTGCCAAATCATCCCAGGTAGATCCCTCTCCTGGCTGGATACTCTGGGGTCTTCTCAGAATGGGGGGAGGGGGGCAGATTTCCCTCCCTTACAGAGCATCCCAGCATCCACCATACCTATAAAAGGCCGAGTTCTAGAGTTTTGGAGCGCACAACTGCATATGAGGCCATACAACCTACCCTCCATGTTTCACAATACTAACAGTCCAGCAGAAACAGAAAATCTGACTGTAAAGTTGCAAAGAAGACCACCAACTTCAATGAGTGGAAAGAGCAATACAAAAATAAAAATTACTATGGGGATGCTGAAGATTTTTTTTTTTTTTTTGCTTTTTGGGTCACACCCAGTGATGCCCAGGGGTTACTCCTGGCTCTGCACTCAGGAATTACTCCTGGTGATGCTGGGAGACCATATGCGATGCTGGGAGTTAAACCTGGGTCGGCCGTGTGCCGGGCAAACAACCTACCCGCTGTGCTATCACTCCAGCCCCGATGCTGAAGATTTTATGTTTGCATCAGAATAAATTTCCATGAAAAATAAATTACTTGGGGGGGGGGAATGAGATAGTGTAAGGGTTAAAGTGCTTACCTTGCATGTTACTGACCCCAGTTCAATCCCCAGCACCACATGTGGTCCTCTGAGCACAGAGCCATGAACAGGCCCTGAGCAAGTCCAAATACCCTGCCTGCCCAAAAATATTTTATTTGAGTAAAAAGAAATACAAGAAACTCAACCCAGAATAATTTCTGGACTTTTCTCAATTTATAGTAGGGTTACAACTCAATAAACCCATCACTGGATGAAACCATCTTTTAATTAACTCATTGTAAGATCGTTACAAAGTTGTTTACAACTGAATTTCAGGCGTACAATGTTCCAACACCAACCCTCTCACTCTACCAATGTTCCTAGTTTTCTCCCCCCTCCCACACTCACACCAGGCTGCCTCTATGGCCGACAGTTTTTTTCCTTTTTCCCTTTAGGCACTCTGGTCTGCAATACTGTTACTGAAAGGGCATCATGCATATCACTTTGGTTTTCATTTTTTAATTGAATATCCATGAGACAGATCATTCAGAGCTGTTCATGGTTGGCTTTCAGTCATACCTTGACCAACACCCGTCCCTCCACCAGTGAACATTCCCCACCACCATCCCCCAACCTCCCCCTCCCGCAGCCTGCCTCTATGGCAGGCACATTTCTTCTTTCTCTCTCTCACGCATATCACTTTATCTCATTTCAGCACCCAGGTCTTGTCCAAAGTGATCACGTTCCACATCACTGTCACAGTGGTCCCTCCTCTGTCCTAACCACACTCCCCCCTTCCTCCCACCCCTTGTGCCAATTAAAGACAGGTCCTTCTGGCACTCATTTCTATTGTCTTCAGCCCAGCAACCTTCTAATTAAAACAATAGTGACACGGTCACTTGTTGCCCGGAAAGCCAGGCAATCACTCAGCACCATGACACGATGACACAGACACCTGCTATTTCCCCGCTACGACAAAGGATGAAAGATGAATGGAGATAGTGGAGGTACAGTGGTGATGGGGCTTTTAGAGCAGGAATCCTGGCAGGGGACTCTGACAGGAGGCAGACACAGGTGCCGAAGGCTGCCAGGGGCCAGACACTGAGCCAGGCAGATCTGTCCAGAATGGCCCCTCTAACCAATTCAAAGGGACGGGAATGCCCCCCACCCTGTTCACAGAGACAGACATGGGGCTGATATTTCAACAATTTTATCAGAGCCAAATATTAAGCAGAAAGTACAATGAAGAGGTATATTTTGTGAAATAACATTTCCATAAATTATTTAATTTTATGTACAGCCTCACATCTACACTTCTTTGGAAAGACTCACATTTTAGTAAGGAGGAAATAGTTCAAAAAGCAGATGACTACAGCAGGTAGGGCGCTGGTCTTGCATGTGGCCAACCCTGGTTTGAGTCCCTGGCATCCCACACGGTCTCCTAAGCACTACCAGGAATGATCCCTGAGCACAAAGCCAGGACTAACCCCTGAGCACTGCCAGGTGTGGCCGTCCACTCCATAAATAAAATATTTTTTAAAATAAGGAAAAGCAGGTGATGTTTTATTATCTATATTTTTCTAATGAACAGCACTGCCAAGTCATTAAAAATAATTTTAAGCACAGGAAACACTTCAGCTGACTACAGCATTAATTCAGTTGAGTCTTCTATGGATATACATACGAACTGTCACGGCCCTCAACACCCTCTGGTATACATACACTCCAAAGAGAAATGAAGACCATCGTTGTGTGCTAAGCATCAAAAAAGTATCAGTTTCTTCAACAAATGGTCCTGGGAAAACTGGCCAGCTGCATCTAAAAAAATGAACTGAGATTTCTTTCTAATGCCAGGCCCAAAAGTCAGATCAAAAAGGATTAAAGATCTCTGTATCAGACCTGAATCCATAAGGTACATGGAGGAGAATGTGGGCAGAACTTTGAAGCTAAATGCATCTTCAAAGATGAAACAGCACTGACCAAGCAAGTAGAAGCAAAGATAAACAAATGGGACTACAGTAAATTAAGAAGCTTCTGCACCTCAAAAAAACAGTGACCAAGATACAAAACAGCCCACATTGGGAAAAACTATCCAATACCAATCAGATAAGGAGTTAGTATCAAAGATATATAAGGCACTGGTAGAACTTTAGAAAAAAATATCCAACCCCATCAAAAGATAGGGAGAAGAAATGAACAGAAACTTCCTCAAAGAAGAAGTGCAAATGGCCAAAAGGTACATGAAAAAAATGCTCTACATTGCTAATCATCAGGGAGATGCAAATCAAAACAATAGGATGTCATCTCACACTACAGAGACTGACACACATCCAAAGGAACAAGGAAAACCAGTGCTGGTGTGAATATGGGGAGAAAAGGACTCTCATTAAATGTTGGTGGGAATGAACACTGGTCCAGCCTTTTTGGAAAACAATATGGGCATTCCTCAAAAAGCTAGAAATTGAGATTCAATACATATGACCCAGCAAGATCATTTCTGGGAATATATCCCGAGGGCCCAAAATATAGACAGCAGAAATGCCAACTTCTATGTTTATTGCAGCACTATTACAATAGCCAGAATCTGGAAACAATCCGAGTGCCCGAAAACAGAAGACTGGTTAAAGAAACTATGGTACATCTACACAACGGAATACTACGCAGCTGTTAGGAAAATTGAAGTCATGAAATTATAAATGGATGGACATGGATGAGTATCATTCTGAGTGAAATGAGTCATAAGGAGAGGGATATACATAGAATGATTGCACTCATCTATAGTATATATAAAAAACACAATATGAGACTAATACCCAAGGACAGTAGAGACAAGGGTCAGGATTGGTCCACAGTTGAAAGCCTGCTTCTAGTGCTGAGGGAGAAGGCAGATGGGACAGAGAAGGGACCACTACGAAAAAGATAGGGGAAATAATCACTCTGGATAAGAACTGCGTGCTGAAAGTAGGTAAAGAAATAAACATGTTAACCTTTCAGTATCTGTATCGCAAACCATAATATCCAAAAGGGGGGTGGGGAAGAGAGAGAGAGACAGACAGACAGACAGAAAGACAGATAGAGACAGAGGTAGAGCTAGGCTAGGGGAGTCGCAAGGGGGAGACTGGGGACACTGGTGGTGGGAAATATACACTAGTGGAGGGATGGATATTAGAACATTGTATGACTGAAACCTGATCATGAACAGGTTTGTAAATGTGTATCAAATGCTGATTCAATTTTTAAAAAGATAGGCATCAGTTTATTAGCACTGATTTGTTGGCATCTAACTATTATACTTGGGCCATAGCGATACACAGTGGATAGGGCGCTTGCCTTGCATGCAGCCGACCTGGGTTCAATCCCCAGCACCTGATATGGCCACCCATGCCTGCCAGGAGTGATCCATTAGTGTAGAGCCAGAAAGTCAGCCCTGAGTACTTCAGTGTGTCCCCAAAACCAAAACAAACAAAAAAGACAAAAACAAAACAAAACAAATTGTTGGACACCTTTGTCCAACAATTCCAATTCATTAACTGTTTTACAGATATGGAATAAAAAACTGGAGTTTCTGTTCTTAAAGGTGCATCTTTCTTATATTTATGTACCCCTATTGCTTAAAGTAACTCATGAATCCATATGTACAGCTGAGGACAAATAATCACGGGACTGTGGTTTATGGTCATACACATGAACAAGTGTTTAGTATGTTTCTTATATTATCATACAATCTTCTAAGTATGACCCACAAATAAACACCTTCCAGTAAATTAGAGAAAGCATTCTACAATCACCGTAGTCCGCACCAACATTTCTGGTCTTTTAGGAGCTCAGACACTACTATGAGATGAAGGGAGTGAGGGGAGCTTACCCAGGGATGAAGAGGCTGGTCCTAGCTCGACACTCTTGGGCCAGGGAGGCCGCAGAGACTGTATCAGAAAAGCCAAATCCTGGGAATCTGACAGGAAGAACAGGCATCCGGGTTAAAGTGTAAAATAACAGTAAATGCAAGCGCAAATCCCTCTACTGTGGCTTCCACTGTAAGGTCTGTCTAGGTGGCAGGGTCCCTCAGGAGGGCGAGGGCAAGAACGTATTCATGATGGTACCTACCACCCACGATGAACTCTTCTCGTATCTCCATACTAATAATTAAGTCTTTTTTAAGTGCCAATCATATAAAACCTTGTCTTGGAAATATTTTTGACTTAATAAGAAACTAAGAACAGTATTTTTCTGTCTCATAAAAATGAAAGGTAGCAGCTTTAAGATTTCAGAACCCACTGCAAATTCAGGTAGATTGAAACAAAAGTATTAAATTCTGAGTCCATGGGCTGGTGTGACAGTACAGCACTTGCTTTGCACATGGCCAACTTAGGTTCAATTCCCAGAATCCCATATGGTCCCCACAGCACTGCCAGATGTGATTTTTGAGTGCGGGTCCAGGAGTAAGTCCTGAGCATCACTGGATGTGGCCCTAAAACCTGAACAAATAAACTATTTCCTTAGGAAGGGAAGTCCAAAGTCTCTACAACAGCCTGTCTATACACTATGATGCCTACAGATCAGAGAGTTAATGAAAATAATAAAGAGATGGAGAAGGAGAATCCACTCACTTTTCATTCCTTGGCCATCTTTTCCTTGCACAAACATTGGCCAGAGAGTGAGTGCTGGGTTGAGTTTACTGGAAAAGGCTGCTGACTTTAGATTCATTCTTGGCTTCTCTAAGCCATTAAGGCTTTTGTTTTCCATGGGTGATACGTAACAAGCAAAGTTCTTTGCAACCAGATCATCATTAACACAAACCTATTCAATTTAAGATGGTTCGTGATTAAGAAAATATAGACAAGTGACTATTCAGATTACTATTTCAAACTTTACACCAAATACCAATTTCAGAAACGTCATTTTACATAGAGAGCATAATTCTGAGCAAAACAGGAAGAAAACTCTTCTTTCAGGCACTGGAAAGCCTTGCATGTGGCAGATCCCAGCTCAGCCTGAAGCTCCACCTACAGGCATTACTGGGGGGAGGGGAAAAGTCATGAATTAAAAATCACATCGGGGCCAGAGTAATACTACAGTGGGTAGGGTATAGCCTTGCATGCAGCCGACCCCGGTTGGATCCCTGTCATCCCATTTATGGTCCCACAAGCACCACCAGGAGTAATTCCTGACTGCAGAACCAGGAGTCACCCCTAAGCTAAGCATTGCCAGGTGTGATCCTCTCCCCCAAAAATGCCTAAATGAAAATGAAAAATAAAAACCACAGCAAGGGACCTGGACATAGCTTGAGTGGTAGAGAGAGCATGGTTTGCATGTGTGAGGCCCTGAGTTCAAACCCCAGTCCTGCAGGGGTGCCCAAGTGATGCAGGGTACAGCCCCAAGCACCAACAGATATGGCCCCTCTTTTAAAAAAAAAGAAAAAAGAAAAAAGAAAAAAAGCACATACCAAATGGGTGTCTTTACTTCCTCCAGTCCTCTGAAAGAAGAGTCAGAAGAGTCATACTCAGCACTAGAGGAATAACTGCTTTTATTAATAAACAGAATGCTATCCGAAAACACTAAATTACAATTGAAAATTTGTCAAAAGAAGAAAACTGCCAACTTCTGATTAAGTGTTGAGAGAAAAGTCCAGGGTCTGGAGAAGTGGTGCCAGAGGGCAAGCACTTACCTTGCACGTGGCCCTAATAGTGAGATCCCCGACCACATTTGCTCCCCTGAGGCCCTGGAGGGATAATTCCTGAGTACAGAGCCAGGAACAACCTGAGCACTGCTGGGTGTACCTCAACCCCCAACAAAAGAAAGAAAATGTCTATACTTTATGAAGTACACTTTCTTTTGGGGGGGAGGGGAAGAAGGGTTTCGGGGCAACACCAGCAGTGCTCAGGGCTCTCTCCTGATGCTGCACTCAGAAGCCACTCCTGACTCTGTGCTCAGGGCTCTCTCCTAGCTCGGTGCTCCCTAAGCTTGGTGCTTAGGATTCACTCTTGGTTCGGTGCTCCAGGCTCACTCCTGGCTCGGTGCTCAGGGATTACTCCTGGCTCTGCACTCAGGGATCACTCCTAGCAGTGTTTGGGGGACCATATGGGGTCAGCTTTGAACCTGAGTTAACTGCATGCCTTCCTCAACTGTGCTCTCTTCTCTTGGCCTCAAGACAGTTTTTCTTGATGTTTGCTTTGTATTGCATTGTTTTGTTATGTTTTGTTGCTTTCTTTTGCTTTCTTTTGTTTTGTTTTATTAAAACAAAAACTTTAAATGAGAAAATTATTTCTAATATTCTCCAACTTACCTTTTCATTTTTTATCGTTACATAAAGATAAACCTCAAAAGTATCTTCTTCCACAGCACATAATTTGGCTTCCACCTGGGAAGTCTCTGAGGGGAATAAAGGAGACCATGAAAGCATATCTGAAACAGTGTTGACCATTTCCCACTGACTAGTGGCCACTGACCACTTGAGTCTCCCAGGCCACATGAGCAAGAGTTTCCTGGACCCTCTGCCTGAATCCATCAGCCCCTGGAATCTGAGCCCTGAGCTACTATATTGGAGACTCAATAACCCAACGGCAGTTCCGAGGGTGGGTCGGGCTGGCACTATGCTAAGGTCCTGATGAGCGTATTTCATCTCACTCTTACCACAACTGGTGAGACAAACAGAACAGCCACTGTCATCTCACAGGTGAGGTGGCGAGGCGCAGAGACAGCGCTCTCAGGGTAAGCAGGGCAGTGTTGCAACACAGGCACTCACTGCCCCTCAATGTACCCCCAACCTCCCCCACTGCAAAGCCAGAAACCCTTCCAGCATCCCATTTCCCCCAAGGCAAAGCCTCTGAGTTTTCCTTGGGGCTGACAATGGAGCAGCAAGGGAGGGACATCGGGACCCCACCTAGTAGCAAGCAGCACCCAGCTGCCTTCCACTCTGCTGCAGTTCTAAGAGGCAAGAAAAATGATCTGACCCTGAGCTGCCAAGGCTTAGAGTACAGGCCACCAAGGAGATTGCCTGAGAGCCAGCGCTACCTGAGAGAGCACAGCGCAGAGGTGCTCTGAGAACACCTCATCTCACACTAGCAGCTGGGCAACTGCCCGGTCCACGCAGTGCACAGGACCTAACTGCAGCTCTAGGGGACCTTGAGACAAGCATCATTAAATGACAGGGTCCCTCAGACCGGCCCTTTCTAATTTCAACTGTCAATACCTGTCTAATTTTAACCTTCACCCCACAATGACTGGGGGTATGAACACATTAGATACGAAGGGTGAAAGAGGTATCAGGTAATGTACGAGTAGACACCAAGCGCAAGGAGGGCACACCTCAAGCCCCTCAGACCCAGAAAATGAAGCTACTCTGTATGTCAGCCTGAAGCAGGCTGCAGTGAGCAGGTGCGCCCCTTACCTTTGAGAATGCTCTGAAAATACTGAACAGCGGCACTGTCCCACTTCTTGGAGGGTCTGCAGCAGTGAAAAGATGTAACTCGTTAATAACAATCTGAGACGTCAATAACAATCCCCATGATACAGATTGAGGATCAGGCTTGTGGCTCTGCTCAGGGCTGAGGAGTCTGACCCCAAAGGAGGTTCCTCTGACCTCTGCATCCTACACCAGGGCGCGGGGAAGTCAGGCTCCTTCCAGGGGCTCCCTGAGGGACCGAGACCCAATACAGCACACCCTCAGCCCCGCCGCCACCATTGCCAGCTACCTCTTCCCAGCCAGAATAGAAGCTGCTTGAAGCAGGCATCCTGAATCCAAAGGCTGCTGCAGAGCATAGATTCTCAACGTGCTGTTTGAAGTGATATTCTGAGAACGGCCATGGGAAGGCCAGCCACAATCAGCTCGCAAGTATTCCTCACCCTGCCAACACACTTTCACCAGTTTCCATTTTTCTCATCATCATGTTCTTTGCTGTGTAACACTGGATTTTATAAGAAGAAATATGCATCTGGCCTTCCTCCCTTATAAGTAAAAATCTCTTAAAACCAGTGGAATTTCCTGCCTGACAAGAGCTGGACAGGATCTTTTCCTGTGGTCAGGGCATGGCTTTCGCAGAGCCCCTCGGGCTGGAGGGTGGAACTATGATCAGAGGGCTGGAATAGTCAATCCCACAAAAGGAAATGAGGTTGTCACAAAAACCCAGAAGGGCAGCAGACTCCCCGGGTCTCTGAGATTTAGGGAGAGCAGAAAAGCACTGCACCTTCTCCTCAGAACTCACCTTGGGCAACTCTGAAGACCGGATGCTCCTGCATGATAAAACTTGTCACCAAGTAAACCGAGTGTTTCTCTGAGTTTTGTGAGTCATCCCAGCAAACTAATTAAAGCCCAAGGAGGAAGCCATAAAACTACGGATGCCCCTTCCTATTGAAATGAATGTTACTGTAGTTTCTTTTCTTTTTGGGGTTGGGGGAGTACACTCAGCGATGCTTAGGGCTTACTCCTGCCTCTGTGCTCAGGAATTACTCCTGATGGTACCTTGGGGATCACAATGGGATGCTGAGGATAGAACTCATGTTGGCCGCATGCAAGAAAGTATCCTGCCCAGTGACCATGGCTCTGGACTATCACCATAGTTTCTACAGCTGTTTTGCAAGAGCTCCCACTACTGCAGACCCAGAAGGAAGAGGAAACACAGGAACTTCATCCCACATTGGCAGGGTGCCGAGAAGAGGAGTCCCAGGTGGGAGGGCAGGGCCATCCTGAGAGTCACAGACAGCGCTCATTTAAGACAGCAAAGGCCAAAGTCCCGTGACGCAGGACCACCCAGTGCAGGGAACTGTCCTGAACAGGCACAGGCAAGGTGGTCAAAAACCAAGAAACAGGAGCAAATACAGGGGCTAGCATGGACACGCTATGGCTCTGCATACCTTCATGTTGGATATAGATTTACCTGCATTTGCTTGTTCTGTTTTGAGGGAGCAACACCCAGTGGTGCTCAGTGGCGACTCCCAGCACAGTGCTTGGGGGCTACAGTGCTTAGGGACCCAAACCTGGACCTTGTAAGTGCAAAGTACACGGTCCAGCCCTTTGAACTACCTTTCCAGTCCCACCAGATATCCTTAAGTTCCACGTGCAAACAAGCGACCACCTGGGCTATGTTCACTCCAAGCGCCACCCAGAGGAGGGCGGCTGACGGCACTGAAAGGCCTCTCAGTGCTCTGCAGTGCAGGACATGTGCTTCCAAGAGAGCGGAAACAGAGCTGGAGAGGGGGATTCTGGACTTTTATTTTTTAATGCTCCCTGGCCCGGTATTGATTCAACAATGATTCTCTTTGTAGTTCATTACTTTTTTTTCCCTTTTCTTGGTTTCTGGGCCACATTGGGTGGTGCCCAGGGCTCATTCCTGGCTCTGCACTCAGGAATCACACCCACAGGTGCTCAGGGGACCATGTGGGATGCTAGAATCAAACCTGGGTTGGACAGATGCAAGGCAAATGCCTACATGCTATACTATGGATCCAGCCCCAGTTCATTACTTTATAAGTAGAAGGTTGGGGCTGGGGGCAGGGGCAGGGGGTGAAAAGCACAGGGTTCAGGCCTGACCCCGGATCCCGTTCAACCTCAACCTCAACCTCTGGGGACGGGGATGCTGTGGGAATTCCACTGCATGACCATGTTTAATAGACACTAACTCCAAAGACAGCTCCTGAAGGACCTTGAAAATTGATTTGCCTTTCTCCCTTTCTCAAGAGGAACTTATTTCTTATAAATATCATACACTTGAGGGGCCGGGGTGATAATACAACAGGCAGAATTCTTGCCTTGCATGCAGCTGACCCGGGGTTCAATCCCTGACATGCCATATGGTCCCTGAGTACTTCCAGGACAAGCAATACAAAATATATTCTTTCAGTTCTGCTCTGGGGCAGGGATTGGGATTCGGGTTGCAAACACGTGCAATATGGTAGTGGGAAGGTGTGATAGTGGTGAGATTGGTGTCTGAATCACTGTCACTGTCCTCCCGTTGTTCATTGATTTGCTCGACTGGGCCCAGTAACATTCTGAGACTTGTTACTGCATTTGGCATATCGAATACGTCATGGGTAGCTTGCCAGGCTTTGCTATGCGGGCGAGATACTCTCGGTAGCTTGCTGGGCTCTCCAAGAGGGGCGGAGGAATCGAACTCAAGTCAGCTATGTTGGCTTTGTGCAAGGCAAATGCCCTACCTGCTGTGCTATTGCTCCAGCCCAGGTGTTTGAATATTAAATGTAATCAAATATTGTGAACTACTTTATAAAATAAAATAAAAAATTTTAAAGACCTTTACCAATTATTCAACCTCCATTAGAAACTTTTACTTACAAAATTTCAGCACTGTCTTCACAGAAGTCAATGTGTAAGGTAACAGGCTGTGTGCAATATAACCTGAATTTCTTCGCTCTGTACGGAAGCTGCATAAAACTTTCCACTGCAACACGTATGCTTCAAAATGAAACAAAAATAGTTCCATTATAAACAAAAATTGTGAACACAGTATCACAGAGATGCCTCCAGACCCCACTCCAGGCTGTTTCACCCGGGACAACTCAGATGGGTGCAGGTGAGTTCCCTTGCTGCCCAAACAGAGCCCCAGCAGCCAAAAAACTCCAGAACTCAATCGCCATCATGCTCACGGCTGCTCTCCACAGGCTTGGACAAGTCTCACCCACAAGTGAATTCCTGACATCTCATACTCTACAGCACTGATGTACCAAGAGTAGCACACCACATCTGGTGGGGTTTAAAGCAGAAGGCAATACAACAATCTTCACACACTTTCCTCTATACAAAGTTGATTATTTCAGTTCTGCCTTGGGAGCATGGTGTGGGATTTGGGGTGAAAACATTCAAAAAATGGTGGTGGGATTGGTGTTTGAATATTAAATGAAATGAATTATTATTGAACAACTTTATAAAAATAAAATTAAATTAAAATATAAAGCTATTTCTCAGGGATATCTGAGCACGATTTGCTCGAGCGGGCCCAGTAACGTCTCCATTGGAGACCTTGTTGTTACTGTGTCTGGCATAGAAAAACATTTTAAAAGTGTGACATTTCAAAAGTACACCCAAATGTTCAACATATTTTACATGGAACACATAAAATCCAGATTATATTCATTTTTAATATAGCTAGCAACATCAGGAAGTGATCCAAGACATTTGTCCAAGAGAGCAAAAACTGAGTGGGGGAGTGAAAGTAATCTTACTATTCTTTTCAAAAATGGTAGAGGAGAGCGAGAGGAAAAAGGAAGCACACAGGCAGATACTCAATGTACCTTTGGTGGTAGAATCCCATGGCATGGGGGAGGAGGAGATTCATAAAATACTAGTTAATCAAGTACCTCAGATTTTTCAGTCAAGACAAGTCTGTCATTGCACCTGGAGATTATTTGTATTTCTCCTGAGGAAGAGGGTCCATGCTTAGTTACTAAACTGCTACAATCTTACTCCGGAAGAAGAATCTATGAACAAACGATCATCAACACCAGGACACTGTTTATTCTCAAGAACAGTAGCCCTGACACCAGTGGGGACTCCCACTAAACTGTCTCCACATGTTCAGCTATGGTCTTACCCTCACGGCATTATGTTTGTCAGGCAGGAAAACACCCTGGAATGTCTGCCCTGCCCTCTGCAGCCCGGCCGGGGTCAGACAGCAGACGTCCGCTGCTGTGGAGACAGCGTTCCCCTGCAGCCTGCAGGCATCGGCCCACTCCTGTCAGTCTCACTCTAATGCTTGCTCCAATTTCAGAGCATGGAGAACCAGAACCTTCATGTCTTCCCTTCCTCCTCCTTTTAAAAAGTAGAACCCAACTACTTGGATGGGGGGATGGGGGGTGGGCCACAGCTGGAAGTGCTCAGGGGCTACTCCTGGCAGTGCTGGGGGACTCCATGTGGTGCCAGGATTTGAACCTACCTGGGTCAGCCCAAGCAACTACCTGTAAGGCCTCACCACCTGCAGTCCCTGACGGCTACCTTCCCTTCTTGATGCTAAGAAGAATTCTACTTTTTTTTAATTTAATTTTATAAAGTTGTTCACAGTGATTTCTTACATTCAATATTCTAACACCAACCCCATCACCACTGCCATCTTCCCAACACCATTATTTCCAATTTTCCCAACCACCCACCCAAGCCTGCCCCAATAGCAGGCCTTCAATGATTTATTTCATATTACCTGTCCTCCCGTTGTTCATCGATTTGCTCGAGTGGGCCCAGTAACATCTCCATTGTGAGACTTCTTGTTACTGTGTTTGGCATATCAAATACATCATGGGGAGCTTGCCAGGCTTTGCCATGCGGGTGAGATACTCTCGGTAGCTTGCCAGGCTCTCCGAGAGGGGTGGAGGACTCGAACTCGGGTTGGCCATGTCAGCCGCGTGCAAGGCAAATGCCCTACCGCTGTGCTATCGCTCCAGCCCTCATATTACCTATTATGATTAATTTGCTAAAAATGTCAAAAAAAGATTTCCTTAAAAGAAAACATGTAAAGATTGCTGTATCTTACCCTGGAGCCATTAAGCCCTTGTATAAGACATTACTAACATGTTGTTACAGGTTAATTCTGAGTGTTAAAAAATTTTTTTCAATCAGGATTCGCTGCCTTATACTTTACATCCCATCCAACATAGTGTGCTACTCCTATTGCATCAGTGGCGTAGAGCAATGAGATATCGCTCCAGAAATTCTATAATTTTGATGGGAAGATATATCTGGGGTTAGATTTTTAACTGGATGGTGACTTTGGAGTCCAGAAGCATCTCTGCAGCTCACTGATATCTTCTGAGATTTATTTATGAGTCTCTGGATCATGGATGGTTAATGAGCTTATATGGTTCCAGAGACAGTCCATGGGAGTGACTTCCAGGCTCCTGGAAAAACAGGAGGGTCGGGGGAGGTCCCCTATCCCCAACTCTGTGAGAGCCTGGAGATTTCAGTAACAAAAATCGCATACCTGAGTTGTTTTTTTTTAATAGATTCATTCCTGGATGAGGCTCATCCAAACCGGTGGAGTCTGGCAGTGAGCATGGCGACAATTGGGTTCTGGAGGTTTTCAGCTATCAGGGCTGTTTGGGCAGGTAGGGGACTCCCCAGCCCCTCTCCAGGGTGGATTTCTACTTTATGACTTCTATTCTCTTACTTTGAAAATTAACACGGCCCTTAAAAACTGATTATTTGTCTCCTGAAAAAGCAAAGAAGTACGTACTTTTTAGATTTCACTGGAATATTCTTGGCAAAATCCACCAAAAAACATTCTGCCAGGTAATGATCTGCCGATGACACAATTGACTTAATAACAGCCCTGCACCAGCACTTCAGTTCTTGACAATAAACCACACAAACCTAGAAATTAAAAAGAAAATTCCAGTGTCAACAGGACCAGAGGATGTCAAGCAGCCCTGATTGCTACGTGTGATGTGGGATCTTAAATGGGCACCTAGAACAAAGGTCGTTCAAGAACCACAACTGAAAGAGGAATCAAGTTGTGAAGGAGAGTGAGTGGCATGACCGGTCCCTGCTATAACCTGAGGGCTGTGACCAATGTCCCACAGCTCTGCACAGCATGCACCATGGAGAAAAATGTGTGTGTGTGTGTGTGTGTGTGTGTGTGTGTGTGTGTGTGTGAGGGGGGAGGTTACAGGGAGCAGGAGGACCTGGCTACATTGAAATTAAAAGATTATATGACCAAGACGGGCTGAGAGGGTTCAGGAGAGGGCGGTCAGTTGACAAGGACTCTTTTGTGGCAGGTGTGTCATGAGGTGAATTTGTTCTCCAAAAACATACACAGACATGTCCACTCGTTTAAAAAGGCAGCAGATGCAGTGATGCCTAAGGACCCCAAAGTCACCTCCAGTTGTATCACCCTACTTAAAATTTTAGAATTCCTGGAGTATGCAGTCACAACATCTCATACTCTAGTCCACTGATGGAGCAAGAGTAGCACACCACATTGGATGGGGTATAAGGTAGAAGGCAACCACTCTCGATCAAAACAAACAAACAAAAATTAGCACACAAGGCTCAGCAACATGTCAGTAATCTCTGATAGAAGGGTTTATTGGCTCCAGGGTGAGATACAACAATCTTTTTTTTTTAAATGTAGGAGCACTGCTATTTATTCAGCCACTGATTAGGCTGATTGAATTGGGCATAAACTCCACCTTACTTTTTTTTCCATTTTTTATAATTTTATTTACTGAATCACCATGAGAGCAGTTACAAAGCTTTCGGGTTTAAGTCTTGGTCATACAATGAAAAACCTATACCTTCACCAGTGCCCATTCTCCACCACCAAAAACCCCAGTATACCCCCATCCCACACTCCCCCTACCTGTGGGGCAGATGATTTCCAAATTACTCTCTCTCTACTTTGATTACATTCAATATTTTAACACCAGACCCACCATTATTATTTGGGATTTTACCCAAAACCTCCAGATCTACCAAAAAGGCAACAGTAGACAGTTTGTTTTCTATTGCTGGTTTATGAATAACATATGATGTTGCGTAGCTGCAGTAGTAGCCATGCAATTTTGAAATTCTGAAATTTTAACAATTAAATCTGGAGGGATTTCTACCAAAAGCCACTGGGTTTCGAGATTTGCTCCTGAGTCTCTGGGATCAAGGCCATTGGGCAGTCTGATCAGGAACCAGAGAGGCCGTTTGTGGGCGATGACTTGGGGTCTCGTTGGGACGGGGAGACCAGGACCGGCTCCACCCCCATCCTGTGAGGCCCAACAAGTTTCATCACTGCGGGCCCAAGCCTGACTGTCCAATGGCCTCGGAAGGATAACGGCCACCAAGCCGCCAAGGGGGAGCAAGTGGAGTGACAACACCCTTTCCACCCTGGGGTGGCCTGGTGACAGTAACCTACTGCGGGGTCCGGACGCATTTCTGCCAAAAGTCGCTGGGTTTCGAGATTTATTTCTGAGTCTCTGGGATCATGGCCGTTAAGCAGTTTGATCAGGAGCCAGATATACTGTTTGTGGATGACGACTCGGGGTCTTGTTGGGATGGGGAGGAAAGGGCCGGCTCCACCCCCATCCCGTGAGGCCCCACATGTCTCATCACTGCAGGCCCAAACCTTACTGTCCAGTGGCCTCTGGAGGATGGCAGCCACCAGACCGCCAGGGGGAACAGGCCAAGGCACGAAACCTATTCCCACCTGGGGTGGTCTGGCGCCGGTAACCTACTGCAGGGACCGGACGCATTTCTGCCAAAAGCCGTTGTGTTTTGAGATTTGTTTCTGAGTCTCTGGGATCATGGCCGTTAAGTAGTTCAATCAGGAACCAGAGAGGCCATGCCTCCAATTATATAGCTGAGCCAAAGGTGGTTTGTGGGTGTGTCTCCCATATTCCTAACTTTTGGCCGTTTACTTTCTTGGTAAATTTTGCTCCGAGTTTTTGGGGTCTGGCCAAAGGCACAGCAGCAATTTGGGGGTATCTGGAAGTCTGAAGGCGCCATCAGGCTGCTGAAGCACTCGCCTCACAGGTACAGATTGACCTGCTGGCGGCACCATACCCCTAGAGAAACAACAATCTTCGCACATTTACACCTAAGCAAAGTTTTTTGGATCATTTTTAGTGGATTATTCATAACAAGCAATACAAAATAAATTATTCAGGGCCTGCTTTTGGGGCAGGCTTGTGTGGTGGTGAGATAATGGGAAATAATGGTGGTGGGAAGGTGTAATGGTGGTGAGACTGGTGGTGGAATATTGAATGTAATTATTGTGAACAACTTTATAAAAATTAAAGAAAAAAATAAAAGGTAGCAGATTGCTAAGGATGCAAAGCTAGCTTTACTGCACAGAAATAAAAGTTTGTATACATCTCTTCAGGGGGGGAATGCCAATAAAATCTCTGCCCAGACAACCAGTAACCACGTTTTAAACAGAAAAGGAAAGAGATGCAGGGAGGTGGGCCAGCCGGACTCACTACACAGTCTGCTAGAAAACATACCTCTGTAAAAATACGGGTCACCTGAATAAACGAAGATTCCTAAGCCAGAATATCATACAAGTAAGAGAAGTTAACACAAGGTGATAATTGGAAGCAATTAAATTGCTCTAAGAGCTTTGGTCACCTTCAATGTCAAAACAGTCTCTATTTTGAGTAGTGTTTCAAGACATGATTCTTAAAGCATATTCAGTTACATACCTGCCCTTCTTCCAACATTAGTGGCTTGATTTCTACATCTTGACACATGCTATTATAGAAGTCATTCATGGCACTATGTAGTTTTTGATAGTCAACTTCATGATCTAGAAAGGGACTGTATCCTTTTATAATAACCCAGAAACAACCTGGATCTTCAATCTGAAAAAAAAAAAACGTTTAATTGCAAACAAAGCAATGCACGATTTAAAAGTAGAACCACAAACATAACAAATCTTAGAAACATGGCAATATTTTAACATTAATTTAAAGTTCTTGGATACTTCTATCATAAATGATCAGACCCAAAATGAAGGCTCTCCATATACATACAAACACTGTATATCTTAAACGTTTACAATGTCAAATATATCACAATAAAGCTAGGCAGAGGGGAACAGGTAAAATTTAGAAACAACCAATAACGTGTTATTTCTTTTTCTCTCTCTTTCTTACCTTTGGACCTCCTAAGTTAGGTTCTGGGGACCCTCCGAACCACTCTTCGTGATTTGTGATTCTCACCCAGTGTGTCGGATGGCTCCATGCTGAAGGCCAAGGGTGCAGAGTTGTTGCTTGGGTCCTGCCTGGCTGGGACCACCCAGGCCACCTGGGCAACCCCAGCAGTGTTCAGGGGACCCCTGGGCTGTCCCCAATTATCTTCAGAGACCCAGGCAATACCAGGGGTCACACCCGGGCTGGGCATGTGCACCAACCTCTGCACTATCTAACCCCAATATGTGATTTTGTATTTTGTAAAAACAAAACAAGAGATCAACAGGCTCTTGTCTCTAGTTTCCTGACTGTACTAGTTTCTGAATTTTCAAAATATCAAGAGTAAAATACAAAGGGCAAGGTTCAGGACAATGCTTCTAGTGTTCCATCTCTCCTGTAAGAAAGACAGAAAACTAAATGTACATTCTGATTATGGTCTTTGAAAGGAAAACAAAAATTATCCCTAACAGAGGAAGCCAGAATTGGGGCAGAGGAGATAGCACTGAAAGCCCGCCATGTACCTCACCATCTACTGGTGCTTTTAGAAACCAAGACCTCCATCCAGAAACACACAAATAGGAAGTGGAAAGCTGATCTGGATGACAAGTATCTGTGATTTTCCAAACTGATTTCCTAAGTCTGGTACTGAGCGGGTCTAACGCCTGATCTCCCATGCTTTGGAGCCCAGGCACCTGATGAGAGGAACACAGGTCTGCTTTAGTCTTTTTTCCATTTTCTGAACACCTGAACATTTGGGGGGGTCTGTCTGTTTTTGGGCCTCACCTGGCTCTGTGCTCAGGAGTCTCTCTTGGCGTGGCTCAGGGGACCATAATGGATGCCAGGGGTTGAACCTAGGGTGGCTGCGTGCAAGGCAATCGCTGTACTATCTCTCTGGCTCAATGCCTGAACATTTTTATAATGAAGAGCTGGGCTTGGGGGGCCCAGCTCAGTGGGTAGGAACACCTGCCTTCCAACCATCGCGTCGGATTCAGCCCAGGAGTCACTGTGGCAGGTGCTACCTAGGTGGCTCCTGTCATTGGCACTATTGCTGCAGCCAGATCTGTGCCTGAGACAGAGGGGTGTGGCCCCTGGTCAGCACAGCACAAACCCAAGTGCAGGAGCAGGGAAGGAAGTGAGCACCATGACAAAACGTGCAGGTCCCACAGCGATGGCCTTTGTGTGACCAGAGTCATGGCAACAGCAAGGGGGAGAAGGGGAGGGATGGGGGCTCTAGGGGGCCACTCTGGTTCCCACAATGACAGGAATGAATCCACTGCCCTTAAGAATGGCATCTTCAGAGCTGGAGCGATAGTACAGTGGGTAGGGCATTTGCCTTGCATGCGGACAACCCAGGTTCGATTCCCAGCATCCCATATGGCCCCTGAGCACCGCCAGGATTAATTCCTGAGTGCAGAGCCAGGAGTTTACCCTTGTGCATCGCCGGGTGTGACCCAAAAAGCAAAAAAAAAAAAATTAAATTAAATTTTAAAAAGAATGGCATCTTATCTGGGAAAAACAGAGACAGAATAGGGGCCAGAGAGACAGCACCAAGGGCTGCAGCACATCCCTTGCCTGCACAAGGCTCTGAAATCATCCTCAGAGGGTTTTGGTACTGCTGGGTGTGGCCCTGGGGGGCCCAGCATCAGTAGGACTGAGCAACACCAAGCAGTGACCCGTCAGGCCCAGAGAGCTGCGTTGGCTAAGGCCGGGAGTGGCCCCCAGGTTCCAGTCCCTAAGCCCTACTGGGGAATACCCACCCTCACCACCACCACGAAAAAGATCAAGAAAGTACAAAATAACCATCTGAATGCACCAGAGAGAGTGCATGGGCCTATCAGAGAGTGGAACACTAGGGGGAGAAATCACCAAAAAAAAAAAAAAAAAAAAAAAGAGGCACAGAGGGGAGAGTCCTGAAGTCTTGATGAGAAAATTCAATTCCACAACAGACCCTAAGCCACATTGGGGTCCAGAGGAAGTAAAAAGATAGGCAAGGGGGTGTCCGGAGGAAGTAAAAACATTGGTGGGGGGAGTACAGAGGAAGTTACAAGATGGGGGGAGTCGAGAGGAATAAAAAGATGGGGGGAGGGCTTCAGCTGATGCCAAGAAAACCATGAACCCTGGAGCTCCCTGCCTGAAAGGGAGAGACCAGGCTGCCGGGCAGAGGCTTCCACTCTCCCCAGAGGGTCCACGCCAAAGAGGTGTGCCCTGAGGACCATCAGGTGTGGTTCAAAAACAAACAATAGGAGCTGGAGTGATAGCACAGCGGGTAGGGCGTTTGCCTTGCATGCAGCCAACATGGCTGACACAGGTTCGATTCCCAGCATCCCGTATGGTCCCCCGAGCACCACCCCGAGTGATTCCTGAGTGCATGAGCCAAGAGTAATCCTTGAGCATCGCCAGGTGTGACCCAAAAAGCAAAAATAAATAAATAAATAATATAATCTTTAACGCAGATACATTGTGTTAACGAATCACCAATAAATGGTTTTTCTCCAAAAAATGATATATAAATATAATTGATTCCAGCATTTTTTTTGCAGATATCAACCAATTAATTGTGAGAATCTTATTGGAAAGGGAAAGGAATTGGAACACCTATGATAATTCTTAAAAAATATATATATATAGTTAACTACTAAAGGTAAAAGGTAAAGGTAAAGGCCCTCCCGTTGTTCGTCGATTTGCTTGAGCGGGCCCAGTAACGTCTCCATTGGAGACTTTGTTGTTACTGTGTTTGGCATATCGAATACGTCACGGGGAGCTTGCCAGGCTGGTGCTATATTTTTGGCAGATTCTTTTAGTCAATAATACTTCATGCACTTGGTTATTTCCTAAAACTTATCTTTCCATGTAATTTTCTATGCTATTGAGTTATCTTGCTCCCAAACCTCCACAAAATAAAGGTAGAAGAAAATTCTGAAAAATAAAAAGACATTTAAAGATGGAAAAAAAACCACACAGCTGTGGAAAAGAGTGATAGTACAGCAGGTAGGGCACTCGCCTTGCAAACAGCAGACACAGGTTCAATTCCTGCATCCCACATGGTCCCCAAAGCCCTGTGAGGAGTGATCTGTGAATCCAGAGCCAGAAAAAGTTCTGAGTGCTGCTGATTATGGCCCAGAAACGGAGAACAAACAGTATAGTCAAAAGACTCACATTATCTAACTTCAAGTCTTACTGTAAGACATAGTAATGAAAGAATTATATACTAGAAAAAGCAGATTTTTTAAGTCAACAGAACGGAAATAGATACTCATGTATTATTAGTCAACAAATTTTCAATAAAGCTGCAAAGGGAATTCAACGGGAAAAGTTTTTTTTCAATAATACCACTGAGGGGCCAAAGCAATACAGTACAGCAGACAGGGTGTTTGCCTCGCATATGGCCAACCTGAGGTGCCAATCCTTGGCACCCCATATGATCTTCAGAACCCTCCAGGAGTGAACCCTGAGCCTAGTGAGAGAATAAGTCCTGAGAACTGCAAGGCATGGCTCCAAAACAAAAACAAAAGATATTAAGTCATTTCAATATACTTAAGTCCCCACCCCCTAACAAAGAATCTCAATCCATTTCTCAAATCAGAACACAAAACTAGCTGGGGTTGAGGATTCACTGCCTTCATGCATGATCGCCAGCCAAATTGAAGACTAAGCAACCACTTTAGCGGAAACAAATTATCCTCTATGTCCTTCACTCCGGGAAAGCAAAGGTCCCTAAAACAAAAGTCAGGGAAAACTATCTAAAGTGCACAAGACTGTCCCAGATGTCACCTCTGAGCGCAGATGCAGAATGTACTGGTGGCAGCAAGATGACTGACTGGCATGACTTGGATTACCTAATTCCTCAGATTAGGTAAAGAAAATGAACTCAGACTTGCAAGACTTGAAGAAAAAAGTAAGCCTTCTTGGTGCAAAATATGCAATTTTTTTCAAAAAAAAAACACAATGTCTTGTGGTTTAAATTAATTAGAAAATTAATAAATTAGGAAATAACCATTTTTCTAATGATCAGTGACGACAAGCATACTTTCTATTTCTATATGTACAACTTCTCTGGAATACAACTATTACTCAAATCTGCCTATTTTAAGATTATTTCAGGGCTTTTTTTTGGGGGGGGACACCCTCAGTGATGCTCAGGGTTTACTTCTGGTTCCATGTTCAGGGACCACTCCTAGTGAGCTCAGATGATCATATGAGATGCCAGGATCAAACCCAAGTTGGCTGCATGCAAGGCAGTCTACTCACTGTACTATCTCTCCAGCCCCAATTCCAAATATTTTCTTTGATTAGTTATTTGACATTAATCGCTTATCAAAAGTAAACTATTACAAAGATATAGATTTAAAAAGAAATGTGCAAATGTGACCAAATGCTAACAACTACTGAGTCTGGATACAGGGCATTTACATCATTTCATTACTATTTGTGTAACTTGCTTCTCTGAAAATTTTCAAAATATCGAGTTGGAGGAAGGTGTTGAAAACAAGTTTTGATAGGGGCCACCCCTTGTGGTGCTGGGGTGAATGAGGGTGCCAAGCGTTCTAGAGTCCAGCTACATCCTCAGGGCCTCAGGGCCTCAGGGCATCACATGTCCTTGGAAGTTCCTAGGATGTCTCCTTTTTAAAAAAATCTGCTTCCAGGGACTGGAAAGATTGTACAGCAGGCAGGGTGCCAGCCTTGCACATGACCGAAGACTGACCCGGGTTCAATCCCCAGCACGTTACATGGTCCCCAGAGCCCCCACCAAGGAGTGACCCCTGAGCAGGGAGCCAGGATTAAGCCCTGAGCACAGCAGGGTGTGATCAAAAAATGAAATAAATAAAAGCTCAGGAAGTGCAGGTCAGATGTAGGGTTCTACCACAGCAGAGCAAGAATTGCAAGCTGCCTTTTCCTCTGTGTGCTCTTCCAGGAGCCGCTGGGCTCCAGTTACTCCCAGCCCTGACGGCGCTGCATATCTGTCATCCCTGTACCACAAGCAGCACCATTTTTGCTTTTTCCTGCCTACTTTATTTCCCTTAGAAAAATTAAAATACCTGTGGTAAAATTCTGGTCTGTTTTCTTCCTTATCGCTACCATTCAAACCTGAATAAATGTATTCAAGTGAAAACAGATTTCTGTTCCTGGCAGGGATACTATTTCACACCATTTACACTGATAGGATTTGGGGGTAGAGCAAGACAGTACAGCGGGTAGGATGCATGCCTTGCTTATAGCAGACCTGGGTTCGATCCCCGGCATCCCATATGGTCCCCAGAGCACCGGCAGGAGGAATTCCTGGGTGCAGAGCCAGGAGTAACCTCTGAGCCCAAAATTCAAATAAATAAACTGATAGGACTTGGGGCTGGAGCAACAGTATAATGGTTTAGGTGCTTGCCTTGCACACTGCCAACCTGGGTTCAACTCCGGACATCCTATACAGTCCCCACCACCACCACAAGCACCAGCAGGAATGATCCCTCAATGCAGAGCCAGAAAGAACCCTGAGTCTCGCCAGGTGTGGCCCAAAAACAAAGCAAAACAAATAAAATTTAAATGAAAAAAATCAATAGAACTTGAGGCAAACTGTGTGTGTGCCAGGCTCTGTGTTCTTGCCCTGGCCCTGAGGGGCTGTTCCTTCCGCCCCCAGCACCACTCATGGAGTTGGCCACAGGACGCTGCTCGGGTTGCCCCCGCCCCACCCCCACGGCAAGCAGGGTGGGGGAAGGGGCCCCACCCACCCACCCCCTAGAAAGGCTGGAAGGGCTCTCTACAAAGTTTCAACTTGTGAGGCCCTGGGAAGTAGGGGCCTATACAGACTGCATCCGCTGGGGGAGGGGAACAAGCCCCAGTGCCCAGGGGGATGCAGGGGAAGGGGTTATAGAGCATCTCTCCTGAGGCTCAGTTAAAAAAAAATAATAATACAGAGGAGGAGGGCCGGAACAATAGCACAGCGGGAGGGCATTTGGCTGACCCAGGTTCTATCACCAATATCCCATATGGTCCTCTGAGAACCGCCAGGATTGATTACAGGCTCCACTTTTAAGACCAAAACTCAGCAGGGCCGGAACGATAGCACAGCAGGTAAGGCGTTTGCCTTGCACGCGGCCGACCTGGGTTCGATCCCGGGTACCCCATATAGTCTCCCCAGTACTGCCAGGAGTAAGTCCTGAGGGCAGAGGCAGGAGAAACCCCTGAGCATCACTGGGTGTGACCCGAAAAGAAAAAAAAAACTCAGCAGGCCCTAACTCTCAGTTTCCCCCATCAGAAACTCCCGACTTCTCCAAAAACAATAACACCCTGGGCAGATAAATAGCCCCAGAATAGGGCTCATGGGCAGTGGCGCCCAGCCAAGCAGAGAGGGCCGAGGGAGTGGAGTCATGGCACCAGACAGAGACCAAGAATTGGACACATAATGTTGGTCGCTGAAGTCACGGGACCGGACAGGGACCAGAATTGGAAACACATTACCAGTTCCTAGAAAAAAAAAATGCTGGTATGTAACCAAACCCTATACAAAGTGCCCAGAATTCGAAGTCGGGGTCCTTGTCAAGACTCCACCGCGTTGGATGACACTCAGACCCCAGCTCGAGCTAGCGATCAAGGGGCCTTGCCTGTGCAGCATCGCGGCTCGTCTGGTCAATGGTGCGAGCGAAACTCCCCGGGACAGAACACCCTGCGTGCAGCACCTGGAGCAATCCCTGAGCGTCGCTGGGTGTGACCCAAAAAGCAAACAAAAAATAAAAAAAAACATAAAAGACACAGAGTGCGGTCTGAAGAATTTGGGACAAAGTACTTTTTTTACTCCCGGCCTCTCCCAAACAAGAGCATGGGAAACCCGGGCAATAAACTGTGGGTCTGGCTAGGAATCGCAGCCAAGTGGGCAACCGCGGCTCGGGCGTCGGGCGACGGGGAGGGGGGACGCGGGGCGGGGGCGCGGCAGGGGGCGCGCTCACCTTCAGCACCAGCACCTCGAGCATCTTGGCGGTGCCTCGCCAGCGGGCCGGCGGGCTGGCCCGGGGAGGACACGCGACGACGGCGTCGTCGTCGCGGCCGCGGCCCGTGCCTGGCGCTGGGCGTGTCCCGGGCGGGGAAGGCGGGGAAGGCGGGGGCGCTCCCTCCGAGGGCCGGCCGCCGTGGGCTTCCCACCGCCTCGCCCATCCGGGGTCGCGGAGGCCCTCGCTCCGGGCTCCGACCCTCGCCCCGCACGCCAGGCCGCCACGCACCGCAGGCCCCACGCTCCTGCCTCCAGCCTGGACGCCGCTGGCGACGCGCTTCGCTCCGCGCCTCCGTCGTGGGTTCCTCGCCGGCGCCAGCCTCGAAGCCTTCCGCGTCCACGTGGACGACCAACCAACGGCCTGTGCAACCGCCAGCGGCCGCTACGCACTGCGAGATGGGGCGGGGCGGGGCGGGGGCGGGGCTCTATCCCTGGGGGCGTGTTTATGGGCGGGGCGACGGAGGGACGACTCTAGGGCGTGTTTGGTGTGAGGGTGGTGGGCGGGGTGATGTGGGGGTGTGGGCGGAGCTATGCGTATTAGAGGCGTGGTCAGGACGGGGAGATGGGCGAGGTGGCTCTAGAGTGGTCTGTGGCGGGCGATGGGCGGGACGACGTGGGAGTGTGGGCGGAGCTACGTGCATTGGGGGGCGTGGTCAGGGCGGGGGACGGGAGGGACGCCTCTAGGGAGTGGTCGGTGGAGGGCGGTGGGCGGGGCCCGGCAGATGGGAGGGGCTATGTGATAAGGGGCGTGGTCAAGGCGGGGAGATGGGCGAGGCGGCTCTAGAGAGTGGTCTGTGGAGGGCGGTGGGCAGGGCGACGTGAGAGTGTGGGCGGAGCTACGTGCCTTGGGGGCGTGGTCAGGGCGGGGAGATGGGCGAGGCAGCTCTAGGGAGTGGCCGGTGGCGAGTGGTAGGCGGGGCGACGTAGGGGTGTGGGGCGAACGGGGCTATGGGGGGGGGCTGTGTGTCACGTGGTCCGCTCGCTGGGCTGCAGCTACCTGCAGTCCAGAGCCACCTGGGTGCGGTGGTCCCCTGCAGGCAGAATCTTTTTCCCCAATACTGTCAAGGCAAGCCCTCTTCGGCCTGCTACTGACCCCTGGGTCTTTGGGGACCTCTCTGCCCTGGAAACAGTTGTCCTGTTCCCTGGCCGTCAGCTGTCCAGGGCTCTCAAACGGGTCTCCGTCCCAGGAATCCGTACCACCAGAGGCCTCAAACCGCGCCCTGGTTCAACCGCCAGCTCTTGTGCACTTGTTGCGCACCACTGATTTCTCTACACTGAACGCTTGGGTGCCTCTCTGCTGTTTTCTCGACTGCAAATTGGGACTAGAGCAACCCTCAGCATTAGGTGAGGTCTCTACTTTGTGAGACAAAAAATATTCAAGAAGCACTCCGGTAGTAAGGTTAGGGGTGTGTGTGTGTGTGTGTGTGTTGGGGTTTGGCGATTGGGTCGCACCTGACAATGCCCAGGGCTTATTCCTGGCTCTGCACTCAGGGACCACTTGTGGAGGTGCTGGTGTTTGTATGCAGGAGCGGAGAGGGAAGAATAGAAACTCATTTTGGATGCTACTTTCAAGGCAAGCACCTTACCGGCTATATTTTTTCTATGGGGGGTGGGTGGGGGATGGGGGCGGCACTAGGGGCGTTATTGCTATCCTGAACTTCTCACCAACACTTCAGCAAGCTAATTAGAGAATAAAAACAACATTTCTTTAAAATGGAATCTTTTTAAATTGTTGTTTGGTTTTTTCTTTGTTCTGTTTGGGGGTCATACCCCCCTGTGTTCAGGGCTTACGACTGGCTCAGGGCTCAGGAATTATTCCTGGCTGGACTCAAACTTGTGTTTGTGGCATGCAAAAAGTAAGTTTAGGGGCCAGGGAGGTTGCTTAGCAGTTGAGCACTTGACTTGAGTGTGTCAGGACCTGAGTTTGATCCTTGGCTTAGTGACCGATTGACTGAATGAATGAATGAATGAAGAAATAATATTTTGATTTCACAAAATCAAGCCATTGCCTGAGGCAGGATTGTGACCGCTATGAGGAGGCTACTGAGGAAGAAAGCACAGCTCCAAGTACCTGAAATGCTCCAGCTGCTGGATAGAACTTCACCTGAAGCCGAATTAGGCTAACCAGGTTCCACCACCAGTGGAGGCACCACACTTGAAAGCTCCACATCTCCTCAAGAGAAATACCCAGGGAGATGCAAATCAAAACCACAGAGTGAATGAATCTCACTCCACAAAGGCTGGCACAGCTCCAAAAGAACAAGAGCAACCAGCGCCGGCAGATGCAGGGAGAAAGGGACTCTCAGTCATTGTTGCTGGGAATGCCCATTGGTCTAGCCTTTTTGGAAAACAATATGGACATTCCTCAAACAACCAGAAATTGAGATCTCATTTAACCTAGCAATACCACTTCTGAGAATATACCCTGGGGGCCCCCAAAAACACAGCAGAAACACCATCTGCACTCCTATGTTCATTTCAGCACTGTTCACAATCGCCACAATCTGTAAACAACCCGAGTGCCCAAGAACAGAAGACTGGTTACTATGGTACATCTACACTATGGAATACTATGTAGCTATTAGAACAAATGAAGTCATGAAATTTGATTATAAATGGATGGACATCGGGAGTATCATGCTGAGTGAAATGAGTCAGGAGAGGAACAGACATAGAATGAATTTATATCCTGCATTCATTTATATGATATAAAATAGTATGAAACTAATATCCAAGGCCAGGAAAAACGGGCCAGAAGCTTGGTCAGTGGTTGGAAGTTTGGCACAAATGTGAAGTTTGCCACAAATGTGAGGCTTGGGGGTGAAGGGCAGTTAAGATAGAGAAGGAACCAGTATGACAGTAATAGTAGGAAATGATCACTCTGTACAAGAACTGTGTTGAAAGTAGGTAAAGGGATACACACGATAACCTTTCAGCATCTGTATTGCAAACCCAAAGGAGAGAGGCAGAGAGAGGGAGAGAAAGAGAGAGAGAGAGAGAGAGAGAGAGAGAGAGAGAGAGAGAGAGAGACCAATGACCACATCTGATTTCAGTGGGAAGTGCCAGAGTCCAGAGAAATCCCATAGAGCCTCTTCCCAGGTTTGAGTGTGGGGGTCTTAATTTTTCCAGACTCAATCCCCGGCTACAATATAGGGCTTCCCAAATTGGTTCCCACTATGGCTTGCAGAGAGTGGAAGCGTCTCTGTGGGGTGAAGTCGAAAGACCACCACAGTGAGGGCTCCCGGCCCTGGGCCCAGGCACCTCCCCTGGCTGAAGGAAATCACTTTTCTATTCCTGCAGCCCGTCTGCTTTCTCCACCTGCTTCCCAGCTCTGGAGAATTTCTTTAACAACTCAATTATACGAAATAAAAATATTTCAGTTGCAGTTTTATTATTTGTTTTTGGATGTGGGGGCCACATCTGGCAGTGTTCAGAACTGCGCTCAAGGATAACTCCACCATATGCGGTGCCAGAGATGAAACCCAGGTCAGCCGCATGCCAGGCAAGCGCCCTTCCCACTGTGGGCCTCCAGGCACACTTTTAGAAGGCAGTTAAATCCTGGTACTAAAAACCTGACAATAAGAACCGTAGGCTAATTTTACTTTATCAAATAGGTGCTAAAGTCCACAATAAAATGCTACCAAAGCAAAACCCAAGGCAAGTGTTAAAAAAAAAAAAGGCAAGGTATTGCCAAGAAAGCTTATTCCAGGAATGTAGGAAGACTTACTAATCAGGGCAAGGCTAACCCTCAGGGGTTGCTGGGGCACTGTGACTGGGTACAGCTGGGAGGCATTCAATCTTTGTCACAGGAATGGCTTTCTGCTTCTGCAACACATCTGCTTGGGGAATGTGCTATTCTTTTACTTTATGTTCCCCACCCCTAGGCATCATTCAGGAGGTTTCTTGGGCAGTCTGAGAGAAGAGGGAAATTGAGGTCACACCAGGCTTTGGGAGGAGCAGGGCAGGGGGAGGGCAGAGACTGTGAAGTTTGAGGGGGAGGAGAGAGGAACTCATCTAAGTTTTGCAGTACTGGTATCACTTTCTTATTTGGCTTTTAGATCACACTGGAGACTGCTCCTGGCTCTGTGTTCAGGGATCTTTTATAGCAATGCTAGACGTAACATGCAGTGCCCAGGATCAAACCAGGGTTGACTCTTGCTGTACTGTCTCTCCTGTCTTCCCCCAGGATGCAGTTCAAAATATCTTGACTTGGAGTTATGAATTCTAATAAGCAGTCTGCATTTCCCCAATTTTAAAGTAGTGGGGCCAGGGAGAGACCTCGAGAGCCTACCATATATGAGGCCAGAGTGCAATTCCCCCACCATTCACAAGAGAGGGAGAGGGAGACACATGGGGAGCCATGGGTTAGAGAGATAGTATAGGGGTTCAGGTATACTTACTTTGCATATGGCTGATCCTAGGCCAATCCCCAGCGCCACATATGATCCCCTGAGCACTGCCAGGAGCAATCAGATCCCTGAGTACAGCTGGATTTGGTTCAGAACCCCGCCCCCCTCAACCCCTACACACACTCTTAAAAAAAACGAGAAAACAAATGCGGAGGTCAGGATATAGCCCAGTGGTAGGGCACTTGCCTTGAGCATGTGAGGTCCAGGGTTTGATCCCTGACACCACAAAAAAATTTTTAAAAAATCAGAGACAACAATAAAATGTGTATTTCTGGGTTTCATTCATTTAAAAATTGAGGTCATTTATTACAGAGATTAATGAATAGGCTGGAGAAAATAGTCTAGGGGTAAGGCATTTGCCTTGCATGCAGCCAATCCTGGTTTAATCCTCAGCACGCTGAGCACCACCAGGAGTGACCCCTGAGCACAGAGCCAGGAGTAAGTCCTGAGCATCATCTTGTCTGATTCCCCCCCCACTCCCAATTAATATTTAAAAACCTAACCTTAAACTGGCTTGATCAGTGACTTTAAAAAAAATAACATTTCTTATATATTTTGCATTGAGAGGGAGTAG